ATGCTCAGCCCAATCAGAGCGACATAAGGAAAAAGTGCTCTTATCAACGAGTAATGGCCCACTTGACAATCACACAGGCACAAAACTGCTCTATTTAACGCTGATTGCAAAAACTGCTGCCCCCCCATCTCAGAGCCGCATGACTCCCGACATCTCCCTGCCACCTCCCAGCTTACAGCCAAGACCCTTTCCTGAATGGAATTTATAATCACCCCTCCTCTATTTCTACGCTAATTGTTATTTTAAGACTTTGTGTGTATTAGGCATTTAGTGCTGGTGAAATGCCTGCTTTGATTACTGTGTTTATTGTGAGCACTGAAGGCATATCCGTCTCAATTCCACCAGCTTGACAGGTAGTGAATTTTTAAACAGGTGTCCTCTACCTGGCTGTTCACCTCCATGTTCACGTCCACTGCTTGGAGCGAGAGAGAGAGCTGCGGTGCACAGATATGTAAAGGCTGGACATGATTAAGCTCTGCAAAGCATGTTCTGTGCAGCTTCGGTGATTAATGAAATGCTCTGACAATCAATAGCCATTTTAATTTTAGTCGCTATTAATGAGATGGGCTGAAAAACAACATTTTTGAGGATCTTGGTGTATTTCACATCCTCATACACACAGTATACCACATGTGTATCTTGATTTGGCAGCACACCAGGGGCAGAGCTGCTGCCCCTTAAAAAGGCCTGGCCACCCCAGTTTGGTTTCAGTTCATTTAGATTAATTTAAAAAAAGATAATGTGTTAAACATGGAAATCAATTTAAGGATATTTTATGGTCACATTTCTGACTAAGTGATTGGCTTAAGTTCAATGAAAAAAGACAAAACAATTTATTTCTAATGCCACCTTTGGATATCTTTATTCAATGCATTTCTAATGTGACACAGGAATGTAATGTTTTTGAGTTCAAATATCTTCATTTGGGCAGTTTTCCAAGCAAATATTGATATGATATATGTATCTGACCCTGCAGCACACACTGTTACATCAACCTGCTCTCACCCTGCTCTTGTTTCATTAATACTTACAGTATTACATTACATTATCAGTAGTAGTAGTAATTGTATATTTCTCCATTTTGTTTTTTTCACTGTAAAAACTTTGCTTATTTTACTTTATAGGTATAATAGAACCAACCCTGACAGTTATTTAGCTCATCTCTAAAGACTTCCATTTTGTAAATTAGTAATTGAAAAGATCTTTATAGTTTTCTCAGCATGAATACAGTCAGATATCTTATAGGTAAAACCTTTGTGGCTACACACACACATGCACATTGATTCACAGCTACACATCTCTCAATTTTTTATCTCTCAGTCTTTTAGTTTTTTCCTTCTGGGTTGTGCAGCCTGGTTGGCTCAAATGTCCGCAGGTGTGTGTTGGCGTCCTGGTGTGAAACAAGAGGGATAGAGAGCAATGCAGAGATGCTGGTAGGCTGTTCTGAGTATCTCGCAACCATCATGCAAAGCTCAGCCAGCCACAAGAGAACAAAGAAATGGGGTAAAAAGAACATTTCAGTTTATTATAATTAATGATATTAAGCTCTCTTACTTGATATATTTCTACTTGTATATTTGTGGGATTTTTTTCGCATTTTCCATATATGCCTCCAGAACAGTGGTTCTCAACCTTTGGCATCAAGGACCCCCAGATTGAAACACATCAGTCTCAGGGATCCCAGTCTGATAAGATTTAGTTATTCCATGACTGTTTATACTGTTGACCTATGAACAGTCATTCCTATACATTCCCTCATTGGGCTGACTTCTAGTAAATGAAATAATAGTGAAATTAAAATCTTTTGGGGCCCTCTGGAAACTCCTGAAGGACCATGGGGGTCCCTGGACCTCTGGTTGAGAACCGCTGCTTTAGAAGATGTTTGTAACTTTGAAGCAGGATAGCATTAACAAATGGTAAAAAAAAAAAAAAAAGTCAGCTGTATTGCTTAATCACATAGTTTGATGAAACATGAATCCAAATCATTGTTAAAAGTTCAAGAAAGTTTCAAGACTTTTTTTCTTGGAGGCACTGCCGCAGAGACTTCAGATTACCGTTTATGTCTCTGTATGTTGGTTGAAGTAGTTCAGTGTAATTCTGTTGTGTTTCTACCCTCTAGTCTTTCTGCAAGAAAAACCTCAACCTTGTGTGTTTTATATCAGAGAATGTCTACAGATGCAAATAGTTATGAGTCCACAAAGGATACATTCCTGCAATACCTCCACATGTCAGCGGCTAAACTGACCATCATGTATGCATACACGTTACTATACACAGTACTATAATATACCTTGCTGGATTTTGATCCACTGCGTAATTTGTATACACTGCATTAATTCTGCATAATCACCAATATTGTCCACTTTATAGCCTCCATATCTCACTTTCTTTAATAAAAAACTGATAAAAAAAAAAAAACCTTTCTTTCTCTTGGGTTTGTAGGAGGAGGGCTGGTTAGAGTATTTGAGGTCCAACTTTTGCATGATTTGAAATGTCAAATTACTGTCTCCGAAATGTCCAAATAATGAATGTTTGCACACACAAATTTGAACCAACTGACAAATTTCTTTGTGGCAGGACAGTTTGTTTAGACCCGGGGTTCAACCAGACCTTGAATCACTACCAGCTAAAGAGAGGCTGTTCTCCAAGTGCCAAGTTTAACTTCTGACTCTGCAGTAAGTTTCACTTTATATGTACTGTACGTTATATTACATGTTCCTTTGAAAATGATCAGCAGTTTCACAGTTGTGTATCTGCGTCTCCTGTTGCATATTTGAACAGGAAAGTTGTCCATCAACAGACAAAACAATCTTCTCCTCTTCCGTCTCAATGTATTCATCAGTGATCCTCAAGTGGCAAGATTCCAGATTGCATCTTGAGACAGAAACATGGCTCCTCCTACTGGTCAACTCTGGTACTGACAAAACACTTGAAAATGAGCTGCACTGTTCATGATGTGTGATACCTATACACAACAACAAGACGAGGAGACATTGGAAGATACAGAGCTGCAAGCAAAGCCACCAGTTCGATATCATAAATATAAAAAGATTTGACCAAATATACCATCATAATTATCTGTTGTATGGACTCAGTGTAGCAACAGGTAGCTTGTTTATTGTCCATAAAATCTGAAAATGCTTCTGTGTCCTGACAAAAATAATTTCCCACATTTCCACAAGAGGGCCACAGAGGACCTGCAGCTGGAGCTCATCCTGGTAAACTGTGAATACACTCTGAGGTGAAAACTGTGGGTTTCTGCCACTGACTCAGTGATGTCCTCATTGAGATTCACATATTTTATAACCTTTAAAATCAGGCTAAAACAGTGATTGGATGTGATTCAGTGAGAGCAAACAAATACTGTATATTTATTTTATTTAAACTTTATTGTTTTGTAGTAGATTAATTGTTTGAAGATCCTACAGTTTTATGGATATTATACGGTGACAACATACTATATGAGTACTCCCACACAGCTAGTTTACCACACACACACACACACACACACACACACACACACACACACACACACACACACACACACACACACACTAACAATTGCATCAATCAGCAGTACTGTGCCAGTTACTTTCCATTACAAATCTCTCGGGATAGTAATCACTATTCCGCCTGCTTTCATTTTGCTGTTAACTATTGTTGTTCACGGTTTCTAAGACGCTGACCAATAACTATAGTAAAATATATTATATAATATATTACACCAATAAAATCCACTTTAATCCTCAGTGGGGAAATTATTTATTCACTCAATGTTTTTACATACACGTAGGCCCAAAATACAAACACACTGGGTTTATAGACATGCAAATGCGGAGAGATGGTGGGGTGAGCAGTTAGGGATTCAAGGCCTTGCTCAAGGGCACCTTGGCAGTGCCCAGGAGGTGCATCTCTCCAGCTACCAGACTGAGCTACTGTTGCTGCAAATGTATGGTTATGTATGATACATTTGATGACATTTTATTAGACTAAACAGTGAAAAGTCATAAAAGCCTGTTATAGAAAGTGGATTTTCGAAGCACCTCTGGATTAAATTGTAGCCAGTGGTAGAAAGTAACTAAGTACATTTACTTAGGGGAAATACTTGAGTACAGTTTTGAAGTAAATCAACTTTGGCAGAATATTTCCAGCTTTAGTACTTTTCAGATTATACTTTTCATTCCCTTCCTGTCCATCAGAAAATCTAAATCACCAAATTTGGAGATACGTGGTTTTCACTGAACTGAAGAATTAAGTGTTCCTTTAATGGGTTATATATTAGATATTATAGAATATGATGCATTGCTGTGGATTCAACTATCCAACAGTATATAAAGAAGTATAAGTTACTTTAACCTTAAACAACTACAGCAATTCAATGCAACATATAACAGTAAAACACTGACAGGGACCAGTTTACTGCATCAGGAGCAGGGTTGGGAGGGTTACTTTGAAAATGCAATATGATACAATTAATGTCAATAAAAATTGTCAGTAACGTAACTTGATTACTTTACTTTTGGATTTCCTCAACACTAATTATGCAAATAAAAACAAGAGAAAAGAATTGTCGATCAGAAGTATTGATGCATGTGGATTCAGTAAGACAACAGAACAATTAAACCTTTTGAAAAGAAAATGGAAATTAAAAAATAAAAACTGATTTTATATTTATAATACCACTAAATAATCTAAATTTTTGGGTTACTAAACTGTGATCTAAAAACTTGTTTTTTTCCTGCAACTGTAATGGATTGCAAGTAATGGATTACATCTTATTTCGTTACTCCCAAACACCTTTCTGAGAATACTTCTACATACTTCCATGCTCTGTACTTACAGTGGATTATTTCCACAGTGGGGCTTTTGCTACTTTTACTTAAGGATCTGAACAGCTCTCCCTCCACTGCTCAGATGTTGGTGGGACTCTCTGTAAGTGGAAACCAGCCTCATTGGCAGCATCGTCACGTGATCTCCCATGGCAACCGGCGAGTGTCATCAGTTCCGCTCTGAGAGAAGTGCAGCCTCAGTCCGACTCAACTGAATGTACTGCTGCACTTTATAACAACATTTGACTCTGCATTGGCCTGGACGTCTTCCAGAGAAGTCCACGACCTTTCTTACCTCAAATATTTTTTTTGGGGGGAGGTTTGAAGAGGGGGTGAGCTGAAAACCATGAGTCACCTCAGCCCAGGGTAGGTGCAATTACATGTTTTATATTCAAGAGTGGAGGGAGCTGAGATCCAGCTTTCAGTTTTACTGTGCTATTGTCTGAATGATATTTTTCAGCTGGTTTGTACATGTATGTCAAAGTCATGTGTTTCGTTTTCTTGTTTTTCGAATATCTTGAAAACAATGAAATTAACTACAATACAAATATATTATTGGTGTAAAATGTCTAGCAATATAATCATTTCAAAGGCAGAATTAACTGCTTGCCCTAATGTTAATACTACTGTTAGGCTAGTCTAGGCTAGGCCCATATGAGTAATTTAAAAAAAGACTTTACATACAGCAGTTTCATTAATGCTACTTTTAGGCTACAGCACTGTAAAACTTTAGAAACATAAGTTTGTGTTTCACTGTGAACAACAAATGACATTACACAAGATGTAAAAACAGAAGAATAAACAGCAGAAACAAAGACAGAGGGATGAAAAGTGTTGCTGAAGAGGTTTTTCTTTACATAAAAAAATCAACACCACAATGCAAATGTACTCTGTTGCCAGTAGTGGAATGTAGATAAATACATTGGACTTTTTTATTCCAGTTAAATGCTCCTTCATACTTTATACTCCACTGTGTTAATCTGACAGCTATAGTTCATTTATAGATTAAAATTTTACATTCAGAGCAGTTCATTAAATGAGGTATTGTTCTGGATTTCACTATTAAACAGTATGAAGTTGTTAAAGCTTTTATTTGTATAGTGCCATCTCATAACAAACGTTATCTCAGGACACTTTTTAAAGAGAGTAGGTCTAGTACTCCTTATACAATTATTTACAGAGCCAAAACAGTTCCTACAACTTACACATTAAAAGATAAATATTAATGATCCAGTAATATAATAATATAACACTGTGGTCATTCTGCATAATTAGTACTTATACTTATTATACTTTAAATACATTTTGTTTCTAATATTTATATTCTTGTATTTTTTCTAAATAAAGGGCTTTATTTGTAAACTTTAGAAACCCTGTTAGCTTATTGAGACAATATATTATTCTAGAAGTACTATGTACAGCAGTATAGCCACCACTGACAGGCATAATGAACTACTTTTAATGGACTCCAAACATGGGCCAATGCCAGTGTTTGGCTAGTGTACGATGAGGCCCACTAACAGACAACAACAGAGGCAGAAACAAACATACCTCTAGGAGCCATACATGCTCTCCTTTTTGTCTTTACTGCTTTCACACATTAGCACGATATATAAAGAATTTCTGTGCCACGTGCCTCCTCAAAGTATCACTGTTCAGAGAAACTCATGTATGATAAATGATGAGTGATAGTTAAACCACCATGTTGTGGTTCAATGAGAAATCTGCAGCCAAAGCTGAAGAGCACCAGAGACAAACGAGCCATGTGCACAAAGAGGAGGCAGACAGGGTTAAGTGTGCCATCCCCTCTAATTCCTGCGCGTAATCAGACACCGGTAACAGACTCTATAGTTGTAAGATCCTGTTGTCTCAAACACAAATGCTGGAGGAAATCAAATCTGTGTTGGAAAAACACTTTCAGACGAGCCTGGCTGTGGACGACCTGATGTCTCGTTAATGAGGACAACAAACAAACATGGTGTTGTGCCCCACTAAACCATTTGATTGAGATTCTGGTTTTCTGTGACTGTAATCAAGAACTCTCGAGTTACTCTTGTGTAAGACAAAATCGAATGTCTGGGTGTTCTTCATTAAATGAGGCCTTTTTTTCTAGAAAAGAAACATTTCTGGGATGAATTAATTTAGTCTTGTTTGTGTTTTTATTGGTGTTGTTTCTGTAGACTTATTTCAGCCTACAACAGTCTCACAGACAAACACCTCGCTGGATACTTCAGCAACACTCGAATCAGGAGACATCTGCAGAGAGCAGGACTGGTACGTCAACAGGCTGATGATGATGATGATGATGATGATGATGATGATGATACAGTGAAAACTGGCTAAAACTTCTGATAGCTGCTAATTAAAGATCCACACTATGGATAGTTTTTCGATCTATTGAAATAACGATACCTTCACAGTCGACAGTCATTATGTCTGCTGGTAAATGGGTCTGTTAACATTTATGAAAAAAAATCTTTTAGTAGATATTGACATTGAGGTGAAACATAAAAGCTTCAAGGAAACTTACTGTATCTGGTAGGTTTAGAAATAAAAATCTTAAGTTCTGAAATGTTCAGTGTGTAACATTGAGGAGGATTTATTGGCATGGTGGAATATAATATTCATAGGTATGTTTTCATTAGTGTATTATCACCTGAATATAGGAATCCTGTTTTTGTTACATTACAATGAGCTGTTTTTATGTACAGAGCGGAGTTCAGTTAGCTGCAATCTACAACTTCACCACTAGATGCCACTAAATCCTACACACTGGTCCTTTAAGTCAAAAACTCATCTTATCGTTACTCATTTTTTTGTGACCCCAGTTTGAAAAAAACCCATGTACTAGATTAAACCCTGCTCACGCTATTGTTGCAGATCACCAGGAGTGGGCGTATTGTTCCAGACAAGGAGTACAGACACAAGCTGATCCAGAGAGCCCACCAGAGACACATTCGAGAATGCCTGGCACAGGCCATTTTCCACAAGGTGCTGGAGATGGAGGTAGGAGGAACACAGTCGAAAACACTGTCAGCTAATCTGTGCTTCTCCTTGCATAATAAAGGATGCTAATTTGCTTTGTGCCCACCCCATACAGCGTGTCCATCAAATAGAGATCAAAAGGAGACTGGAGGAGTTTGCAAGAAGGGAAAGAGTGCATAAGATCAAGGTACATCATTTACATTTAAACACTACTTTGCTTTTGTAATGACTCATGATCCATTTTTATAAACTCATTCTCAGTGTGCAATTTTTATTTTCCATTATTAGCATTTACCATTGTTTATAAGTAATTTTATGCAAATGTCTCTCACTTTGGAACAAAACTCTTCACTTAAAGCTACACAAAAAAAAATAGCAACAATATTGATTAATGGTCTTGTTTGGAAGGTGGAGCGCTCTAAAAGGTATGAAGAAGACATTATCCGCATCCTGTCTCCACGGCCACCTACGGGTGCCAGGGGCATCAGAAAGCAGCACTCTGGGCCGGAGGGGGAGCACTCTGAATCCTCTGAGTCTGTGAGTCAAATCCTAGATTGAGTGGCTATAATATCACATTTATTAGGTTGCCACCTGTGAGTGATAAAGGAGATCCTTCGGCCAATCAGGAACGCCACAGCTCCCAAGTTTTTAATCAAGTGCTTTTGGAATTTGACTTTTTATTATAGCACCTTCATCATGCAAAGAAGGTTTTCTTAAATGCCTTGACCTTTAGTAAAAGAACCTTTATCAGGCCAATCAGTTTAAGATGAATACGTCAATCCTGTGTTTAAAAATAAAAAAAAGATAAAAACATAAGGTTTTACTTGAATTGTAATGCCCTCATCAGTAAGAATTTTTATTGCCTGAAAAACACAGTCAACATGCATCACCCCCCCTTTGGTTAAAGGTTCTATAGTAACTTTCAGAAAACTGCTGTTAATAGTAGTAAGTAAGTAAATTGTCTATAAGACCAATAGCCAAGCGCCAGGAACAAAAACACTGAATTTGTCAAAACAGAAGGCTAGTAAGTATGTGTGATTGTTAAAAATACATATTACAGACAGAATTGTTCCCTAAAAAAGTATCCAAAACAGGAACAACTCAGAATTAATCCAAATCACTCATTTTACAAACTCCTTGCAGTTACTGAGTTCACTGTTTGGGTTAATTGTACAGTTTTGAATACAATATGGAATATCCATTCAAATGTGTCACTTAAACGGGGGTCGTCAGTTTACTAAATGATAGAAAAGGGATCCGTTTGAAAAAAGGTTGGGAACCACTGCTGTATCCTGGGCATGAGCCAGAAGAGACATACATGAGACTGAACGTTAAGATAAACACTAAAAATAAATTACAGTCATATTTAGAATAATGTTACTATCTGTAATGTTAATATATTTGATATTTGGACTCCATGATACTTAACTAAGTTGCCATTTGCAAATCACCCTATAAGCCAACTCCACAAATCAATCAATGCCAGACCCACACCGCACAGCCAAACCACAGCCAGCCGGCCAACTCCAGCTTAGCTTATAGGCTCCAGTTACCTGGTTGGATGCAGCTGCCTTGCATCGCTCATTAGTTACACATCTTTGTTTTGTACCGTTTATTGTTGGCTAATATCAACATTGTTTTGTCATAATACATAAGTTAGTAACATTATCAGGGATCATGTTAGCTGGTGAAGTCATTTTGCAAAGCTAACATTAGCCAACTAACATATCCACTTGAACAGTATTTTGGTAGTGATAACGTTAGCGAGCAAGCAAGGTTAGTTAGTCGAAAAAAAGTTGAGAAACCATTTCATACAAAGTCCACAGGCTGTTGTAGGTAACCAGGGAAGTCAGGGAAGGTTACGTACCTGTTCACAAATTGGCAATAAAAAATTAGTAATGTATAAAAATAATATGTAAAATGGTTCAGCTGATGTGTGAGATATTGGATTTAAAATGTTGATGTTTAATTAAAGTAATAGTTATATAAATATTGGGAAATAGGCATATTCACTTTCTTGATGAAAATTAGATGATTAAACTGAGACATCATGGACAGACAGACAGTTTGATCTGCAGCCAAACACCCACAATTTTAATTTCAATGGACAAAAAGATAAAGATCAGTTTTAATCCCTCAAACTCAGTCACAGCCCGGTGGTGTCTAAAACATCCTGTCAGGTGAGGAATGTTTGTAATGAAAATCATTATCTGTGCATGTTGACACTTAAGTTTGAAGAGCTGTCTCGGCTGCTGTCTTTGCTCTGTGTGCAAACAAGAGAGTTTTAAGTGAAGTCGTGTGTGATCTTTTAAATATAAAAAGTCACGGGCCTTGATGCCAGAATAAATAGAGCTGGTAATCCCAGCCTTGATCTCTGTGTTTATCCTGTGAAATCTCTCTCGTCTAAAGTCTACAAACATCTTACACTTCAGCGGGCAGAGGCTTGTTTGAAATACATCAACAGTGATATGTTGGGAAAAATGTCAAGGCACTTCTTGGATTACTAATGTTAATATTTGCAGATGCTAATAGTGTTATTTATCATGTACTAAAGCAAAAAGAGCTTTCTGCATTATGATATAAATGAGAAATAGAACAAGCTACAATTAATTGAAACACTGTGTGTATGTTGACTGTGTGCCTCAAACACCTTTTTACATTCTCTGTAGCAAGAATAATGAAATAAAGAAAAATATAAATAGCATATAGCAAGTAGATTGCATTTAACAGAACCCAACCTAAAATAAAAAAAAAACATATTAAATCACGTTACAACATGTGGTCCAAAGAAACACTTTATTATTCTGAATTATTTATGAAAATAACATATGTTCTGTATTAATTCATTTCAGTTCAGTTTCATTTGTATAGCACTACTACTTCTCAAATAGAGCAGGTCTAGACTGTACTCTATAAAATTAACATACACTTTACTTTATTGGTTTCTATAGCGATTCATATACAGTGTTTGTAGTGAGCAGATTGCCAACTGTATGTGTGTTATGTCCGCTGCAGCCGGGCTCGTCGCGACCCAACACGGCTCCAGGGAAGATGCAGAGGCCGGTGCGTCTGAAGCCGATCCACAGTAACAACACCACGGCTTCGCTCAGACGCAGCTCCCCTTACAGACTCCTCGAGTCCTCCAATGACAACGACCAGCACTTCAACTGCACTGTGAGGCCATGACACACTCATTCATTTATTCTCCCATTCATGTATAGAGGGTGGTGAAGGACAGTTTTTCTATACAGACAAAATCCTTTTTATTTTTGATTAAGCACTGGAGTGAGATCAAGATTATGTAAATCAGTGTTTCCACCGTACTTCTAGAAACTGTTTTCACAGTGTTGAATATTCACTCTGTAGCTCTATGCAGTAAATGGACGACAATAAACTTTCATCTGCACTGAAACTGTTTTTACAAGCACAGACATTGTCACACACACTGACTTTTTTTCCCACAACCTCACTTCGTTAACTTCTCTCCCAGATGGACAAGGAGTCCCGGAGACGTTTGACCGCAGTGGAGGCCTCCCGTGGCATCTCACCCTACTGCCTCCCAGTTATCAACAACTTTGTCACCCCAGTACCTCCAGCCACGAAGAGGAAAGAGAGGGGGGTAAAGGCCACTCCCAGCGGCACGCTCAGAGGCCGCAGACTGCGTCCCACCACTGCCTCCAGTGGAGCTGACGTCAATGAGGTCTTTATCTGTCTTTCTGTTTTTCCCTGGCAACGAAACTTTCCACAACAAACTTATAAACTGCAGTCTCTGTGGATTAATTAGGAACAACACTTAAAACTTAAAGGGAAATGCATTGATTTTTGCACAACTTTGCAAGGCTGAGGTTAAATTATGTCTTTCTGTGTGTCTTTTATGAATTTGTATGTTTAAAAAAATTCCAAAATGCAAAAACAGAACAGCATCACATTTTTTATTACTTCATGTGTAGTCCCAAATTATTGTCAGCTGAGTCCGATTTAACTGGTCATGCTGTATTAATCAGGACAATATCAGAGGTGAGACGACATGAAAAAGTAAATATAATTCAATATGTTATTTCCATTATATATCATTATAGAGTAAATGTCATCCAGACCCACATAACACTCATCTGTGTAGTAGGCAGGTCATATTACATGTGGCATTAGGAAGTTAAAATAATTGGATTAAATTATCAAATTTGACTTGACGTTTCTATCCAGGACCCCCCTATGCTGAGGAGCTCTGTGCACCAGAGCCGAGTGTGTGTGAACATGATGTACTTTGGCAAAACGGTGCATCTCTCTCATGACCTGACCGACATGAGGGATGAGGTCAAAGTGTTTCAGCAGCACTGCGGAGGAGAGAACCTGTGTGTTTACAAGGGCTTGCTCCGCGAGGGAGGTCAGTGTGAGGATCTGTGGCTTGTTTGTTAGATATTGTTTGTGTACACAAATAAGAGCAAACCCAGGGTGGGAGGTCATTTAGATAATGTAAGTGTGTGCAACAACCTTTGAGCAAACAAACCAACTCTGATCAGGGGTCACCCAGTTCATAGAATACCTTTAAATGGTTATTTCAGTATAATTTAGTTGTGTATCATGCAATGCCAGGGTTACAGATTTTATGTTCTTGATCTTGAAAATGTTCTTCTTTCACATCTACATCCTCAATCTTTCCTTTAGAGACTTTCCAGTTCATTTCAAGGCGACACCGAGGTTTCCCCTTCAGCCTTACCTTCTTCCTGAACGGGCTGCAGGTGGAGCGGCTGAGCTCCTGCTGCGAGTTCAAACACAGGAAGGGCTCCAGACTCGGTGGCAGGCACGGACACTTCGGCTTCTCCAGCGTAGAAGGGGCCTCTCCCTGCTACAAGTAAGGTCTCCTTTTAAAGGCACACTGCGTCTTTAAAAGGGGAACTTTAAAGGGTTCATGTCTTGGGGAGTACTAACACACACGTAAAAAAATGTTGCAGACAGCCTTTTATGGCTCCCGAAGCTGACATTAACATAACACACTTGAATGTCTGACTTAGATGTCAGCAGTCACGTTGCATTGTGGGTAAAGGAGAGTAGTAGGCAGGTTTGGTTTCTAATATAACACAACTGTGTCAATAAAAGACAGAAACATAGGTTCACTACTTTACTGTTTTGGGTCACTCTCACCACTCACCCTTTTGCCTGCAGCTGGTTTCAGCTAAAAACTCTATAAACTGACTGTGTTGAGTGGCTAATGAACACAGTGGAGCATTTAGCAGCTGAACAGCCAGATATTTCACTCAGAAATTGGTGCATTTAAAAAACAGTGCTAACAGGAGAGTATGCATTGGACTTGCATTCATCAGGTGGCCAGAATCAAGAATATTAATGTTGCTCTTTGTTTCTGTAATTAGAGTGGTATCCATTTTCTCATCTAACTCTTGACAAGAAAGAAACCGTATTTCACAGAATATCAACCTATTCCTCCGTGCTCATTTTTTCAGGTGCATCATAGCAATGGGATTGGACAAAAAGCCCACTCCTCCACCAAAGAGGGTCAAAGAGGATGGAGTAAGAGAGGAGTCAGTCATCAGCCCAAAGGATGCTCCAGAGATGGAGAGAGAGAGGACTCGAGAGAACGCTGCATCCCATTCAGAGTGTGAGACCAGCCAACCACAGGACATGGAGACTCAAGTCAAAGAAGAAACCGCAGCCGAGGAGGACAAAGTCAAAGACGGTAGGTATAAAGACTAAGAAATAAATATCACAGATCTCTTTCATACAGTATTTGTCAATTCATTTTCTGTACATCTTCCTCCTCAGAATATGAAGAAGACTTTGAAGCAGATGATGAGGGGCCTGCAGAAGATGTCGAGGCAAAAGAAAAAAAATCCCCATCCCCGTCCGGTGAAACTGAAAAGCAGGTTGAAGAGAAAGACGCCTCGGAGACTGAAGACGACGAGAAGGAGGACGGTGGGTGAAATGTCTCATTTGAACATCTTTAAAACACTGCATGGGAAGAAAAATACAGAGAGTAAAAAGCAACATTTATTCATTTGACACCTGCTGTTAACACAAAAACATAATCACTCAGTATCTTTTCCAGGGATTTCAAACCCTCATTTCTGCTTATACATGGAGCCTTGATTTCAATGACTTTATATACCTAAATAACAATGTGTCAGCTAAACCAGCAAACCATCTTTTGAAAAGTTTAATGATGTAAATAAATAAATAAATAAAACAAAAATTGAATTGGAAGTTTGGAGAGGGATTTTCTGTGTTGAAGAATTTAATTCTTCATCTTTCTTGCACTGAAGACATAAAGTCTCGTTCAGGCTCCAGCTCCTCAGGCAGTGACCGGGAGGAGAGTGACGCTGAAGCAACCAAAGACTCCAGAGAGGATGAGAAAGCAGAACAAGCTCAAGAGGTCCATCGAGAGGACACTGCTGTTCCACCAGACGAAAAAGACAAACCAAATCCAGAAGAAGCCGCAGCCACTGAGTCCACTGGGCCTAAAGACTCGGACATACCGAACAGTGCAGGGGACAGCATAGAGATAGACATCTCTGATACCAGTGTCCCCTCAGGGAACGAGAATAAACAGAGTGACGACACTTCGGGAGACAAAGAGGTTGAGAAAACGGTAGATGAGAGCAAAGAGGGGGAGGAACAGGAGAGGGGTGAGTATAAACCTACAAATACAGCCCTGGAGCTTTCACCTGAGTGAGAAAATGGATCCATCTTGTATGGAGGTTTTTCCACTATTATCACAAACAGTGCTGTAGTCAGTGCCAAGAGACAACAGACAAATAATTATCACAGTACTGTCAGTACTGTGTTGTCAGTTTGTGATATTACTTTAAACGTTAAACAACTGAGTAGTGGAAAAATTACTTGTGTGCTATTACTTTTTTTTTCATTATTTTCTTTCGTTTCTTTTGTTTTCGTTGTGTTTGATGATTTTCTGTCTGTCAAAGTTCAGTTTATTCAAAATGAGTATCAAGACTTATTAATAAGAAATTCTCACCTATAAGAGTATTTCGATTGGATTTTTATCACTCATTCAATGTGTGTAGCCATTTCAACTTTAGGTTCTTCGCACTATGTAGTTCTGGTTAAAGCAAAAAAGAATGTGTATCAAAACATGTGAAATGAATAAACATTTCAAAATATAGCTCAGAAAACAAAAGGAAAAGCCTGTGGGGGGTTAGGGGAGTGGGGGTGAAAATGCAATCAGAAGAAAAGGAGGAAGTGCACGTCCCAGTATTTCAAAAAACACAAAATATGCAGCTGTGAAGAGCTACTGCATATTCAAGTACAGAGTGCACAACTCACACGTGTTTAGAAAATGTATTATTAATGAAAGCAGAATTGTAAACAGACTTCCTCAGCCACAGTTATTCCCACATTCCCACTGTGCTCCTGGGATCCTGAAATGTCTTCGCACAAAACACCTCGGCGCCAAAGTTTAGTAATTTTCTTTCTTCCTTTTAATTTTGTATCATCTAGAGTTTAAAATTTACATACAGTAGGTTTAGGCAGTCTGTATTGTGTTTCCATTTTGGTTGTGTACTGAACGATGCTTGTTTATGTGTTGTTGTTGTTGTTTTATTCTGTGCATGTTAATTATCTTTTTGCATGTTGTGTTGCTGTTGTTGTTTGCACCTGGAAAGATTAAAGACAGTTTTTTGTTCTGTTTATGGCTGTATGTTTCTTCATTGGCTCAGTTATCTCATTTCATTTGCATTGTTCAAATACTACCTCATTCCTTTTTACACTCTGACATCGTACATCTCTAATAGAAGTTCATCACATGCTTGCTTAACTTATATTGCTGTGTGTGTCCTGTCTCTTTTTGTTCCCCAAGCCAAATCTGTGCAGGATAAGCTAGCAGAAGCCATACTGCAGGAGTCCCAGTGCAGCTCTGAGCCCGAACTGAGCGACACCAGCACTGAGGAGGAGGAGGAGTCAACAGATAAAAGCCCTGAACAGGACAACAAAGGTACCAGACTCATTTTCATTCGAATCAGCATGAGACAACTTGTAAACTAAAATACATATTTTCTTCAATAATCTCGAAATTATATTTGCAGATGCTGTCCAACAGACCCAAGCTGAAGAAATTAAATGTGAGGAAGGGGTCGTTGGGGAAGCTGAAGTGGTACACGATCAGGAAGAGATGTCTGAACCAAAAGGACAAGAGGACGAAACTGAACAAGAGCCCCACGAGAGCAGTGATGGTACTAAAGATGAGGAGGTTAAAATAAACGAAGAAGATGAAAAGGCTGCATCAGAAGAGGACAGAAATACAGCTGAGAATGATAAATCAGAGGACACAGGAGATACAGCTCTGCATCCTGTATCTGAAGAGGAAATGGCTGAGGATGACAAGACTTCAGAGCCTCAAGAAGATGCAACAGCTAAATCCACTGATGCTGCAGAGAAAGACGAGGAAAGCGAGGAAAACACTGCAGTGGAGGCTGACACACAGCCCAGCGAGATGGGGCAAGGGGCAAAAAGCACCGAGGAGAATGAGTCATCAGTATCAGAGTCGAATAAAAAGACTGATGTGACAGCAGTGCCCGATAATGCAGAGGCGGAGGCGATGACAGCGAGCGAGACAATGGAGTTGAAAGCAGAGCCCTCTGAGGAGCGAGAGGCCCTCAACTGTGAAGAGGCACCTGTACCCGACACAGAGAAGAGGCAGCTAGGAGACAGCGAAGGCAGAGAATCAGAAACAGAAGTCACAGCAGAGAATGCAAGCAGCTCGCTGGAGGGGAGCAGAGGCACCGCAATTGAGAAAACAGCAGAAACAAGCGAGGGCAATTCAAAAGATGAGAACGATAAAGGTATTAAAGGAGAGCAAAGAGAGGAAGTGTCAGCAGTAGAGGCTAGTGAGGATGACAATCAACAAGAAAGGTGTGATATGGAAGAAGAGCAGACAGAAAGATCTGTGGAAATAAATGATAAATTAGAGGAGAAACCTGAAGAGGAAGCTAAGGAGGAAGAAAAGCCAACCAATACAGATGAGATAACAGAAGGTGACAATAGTGAGGAAAGCAAAGTGGATGATAAGGATAAAACAGAGGAAGCAGAGAATAACGAGAGTAAGACAGAAGAAGGTATAGAAAACAAGGAAAACATTACAGAGCAGACTCAAACAGAGTCAAACACTGAAGGAAAATCGAATGAAGAGGAAGCTGAGAAAACTCACAGCGAGGATGATAAAGTTGCAAATGAAGAGAAGGCAGACAAATCAGAAAAGACAGAGAAAGATGAAGACAGTGAGTGTGTCAAGAATGAAAATGACGAGGGAGAATCTGAAGAAAAGGGAGCCACAACTGATAAAACTAATGAAGGTGAAAAGATAAGTGAGACAAACACAGTTGCTGATGAAGAAAAGGACCCTGACGCTGAAAATGAAGAGAAGGATCAGAACCAGAATAAAGCTGAGCAAAGTGAAGTTGTAACGAATAAAGATGACGGAGAAACTGAAGAGAAAAAAGTTACAGAGGGACAAGAAACATCTGAGACTGCAGAAGAACCTGAGAAAAGTGCAGATGCAGCCTTGGATAAAGACAATGTGACAATATCCGAGGAAAATATTGTTGAGTCAGAAGATGTCGGTGACAGTGAAGCAGCAAATGTAGCACACGAGAATAAAACGACTGAAGAGGCACTGAACAACGCGATGGAGCCTGAAGATGTGAAGAAAGAAACTGAAAGGTTTGAAGGATGTGGAGAAATTGATGCTGAAAATGGAGAGATTTCTACTGGAGCAGAGACCAAAACTCATGAGGATGAGGGAGAGGCTCAAACCGAGGGCGAAACTGATGTAAAAACAGCAGACGAGATAAAAACTGAGGAACCTACAGAAGATGAGAGCTCAGACATGAAAGAAGTAGGTGTGGAGTCTGGCGATGGTGCTGAAAAACAGGAAGACAGCGAGGCTGATCAGGTTCCTGACACCGATGTGGTAGAAAGTGAGGCTAAGGTAGCGGACAGAGGTGTGGAAAAGCAAGATGAATCCACTAAAAACTCAGAGCCAGAGACATCTGGTGCAGAAATAAAAGCGGAATCTAAATCAGATGACAGAAAGAACAGTGAGGAAACAAAACAAGATGAAAATGGGAACATATCTGACCCTGATCATGAAAACAGAGATCCAGATTTGATCAAAAAGAACGATAACGTACAGAGTAATGTCATCGTGGTGGTAGTTGCTTCTTCGGCTGATCAGGAGCAATCTGCGGCACCCATAGCTGTGGATTTAGTCCTTACAGCTCACGAGTTAGATGAATCCTCTGCACCGACTGACTCTAAAACAGACAAACATCCACACGCTGATGAAAACGCTGCTGACCTCTCTGCTGCCGATGGAGACAATGGAGACACAGAGGAGGCGAGCAAGGCCTCGGAGGAAGGAGCGAGCGTGCTGCTCAAACCACAAGCTCAATCAGCACAGCTTACAGAAAACAATGAGGCTGAAAACAAAGAGGAGAGTGTTGCTGTAGGCGAAGAAACCCCAGAGGCCTTAGCAAGAGAAGACCTGGTGACAAACTGGGTGAACATGCATCAAACATCAAAGTTTTTTGAGACATTTGTCGAACCTTTAGAGGACTTGAAGGAATCAGACTCTGAAGTATCCAACTCTAACAAAGAAGCTACACAATCAACAGAGCTGCCGAGATCAGCAAGTCCACTTAAGGAGGTGAAGATGTCTGAAAATGCAGAACAAGAGCACATGCTAAAAAATGCAAATGAGGACAAAATCAAAGAGGAAGCTGTAGAGTTAAACCCTGAGAGCAATCACTCTGAAGATGGCGAACAATGTGAGAAGGACCCTGCTGCAGACACACTGCAAGTTGAGGAGGAGACTGAGGTGAAAGACTTAAAACCAGAATCAGAGAGTGAACAAAATGATAAAGAGTCTGTCAAAGGGCAAGATATGAGGTTAGAAGAGCGCAAAGGAAGCAGGGGGTCTCTAGAAGAAGACAAGGTTCAAGAGGGTTTAATGCAGGATCACACTGAGCAAACTGATGTTTCCAAAACTGAAGTGGAAAGCATTGCAGGTACTCATCATTCAGTAACCAGTGGCAGACCTGAGAGCGTCCCTGAGAACCAGAATGAGGAGAAAGCTACTGGTAACGCTCCAGACTTGAATGAAAAACAAACAGCAGTTGAAGAGAACAAAGATCCTCTACCTTCATCCGAAACAGATAAGCATCGTGAGCGTTCACCGAGTCCAGCAGGCCTCTCTGAATCAAAGGCTAATGAACCGAAAGATGAAGGGGAAGCATGGGAAAAAAGTCGAGAAGTTACAGAAATTACTGATTTTACAGAGTCCAAGTCAGAAGATGGAACTCCGGAGGAGTCCCATTGTAAAGAGACTCAACCCAAACTGTCAGACAAGAGCGTCAGCGGAGACAGAACGGATGTGCAGAGGATCCAAGACATCCAACACACTCTCAGTAAAGACCGGTTGAGCACTTTCTCAGTGGATGAAACACTGTTTGGTCGAAGTTCATACCCTTTGCTGACTGCTGCAAGGACAGAGAGTGGACATTAGAGCTGCACATGAGTGGCCCTAGGGTACAGTGGTGATTAACTTGCTTTTTTTAGTTTTACAAGAAAACATATTTAAGAAGCGCAGAAGTGAATATAAAAAGCTACGTTCAAGAGAAAGCGCTTTAGCACGGCGATGAGACAATCAGATGGCTACAATATTTGTAGTGATCAGGAAATGTAATTTGATTTTAGTTTTGACAGAGGCCCTCAAGTGTCTTGTGGTTTCTGTGTTTACATTACAGTGACATCCAAGATAGTCTTCATCCTTCAGTCACCAAACAGAAAAAGCTGCATAATGAGTTTTGACTGCTGTATAAAATGTTTACAATAGACCATCTCTTCCTATTGTTGGTAACAAAGAGGCATAGTTTGTGTGGGGTATCAAGTACAGCTGCTATCACCTATTACGTGTAAACAGATACTCTTCCACTCACACTCACAAGTGAGTGAATAATTCATAGTTGTTGGACTCCCACAGCTTATTTAGCACACGTTACATTTCCACCGACTTTAGCAGTGATCAGAGATCTGTAATTGCACTGTATCTGCGTTAATGACAATTTTAGCAAGAGCCTCAACGTGATTATTTGTTTAGAGTAGACAGAAATACAGCAGGAATGCTAACCTAAGCTAACATGGAGAAATCCTTCATCATTTGGCTTCTAATTAGTTAAATAAACGTAGGCACAGATTTGTGTCATTATTGCTGCTAACACTACCTCTTATATAAAAAAATATACTTAATATTTATTTATATTGCTGGTTCACTTGATTTTAATGGCTGATGTGGGTTTGTGAGGCTTCATCTTTTAATTTGATATTTGTCAATGACTGAACCCTTGTGTGATTTGGCCACTTAAAAAATAAAAACAGTGATATGAATAGTGGCTTTCTGCTTTTCTCCCTCAAATGAAGATGTGTGTACATTCAATCAATGCACCAACTGACTGGCAAAAGCTTGTATTTCAGATTTATGCAAACCATACACAGAAAAACATATGCATACAGTATTTACAAGATCTAAAAGCCCCAGCAAAATATAAAAAATGTTTATATAATATAACAAATACACCTAAAACTACAAGACTAGATATTATATTGGGTGTATACTGTACACAACTCACCCATATACAGTATGTTACAACTAAATACATTTTAGTTAGCAAGTAAGTGAGCAATATCTACTTCTACCATCTATTTAAACAATTTTAATTCAAATGAATTGAGAAAAAGAGGCACAGATGTATGAATCAATATGGTAATAATAAAGAGGGTTTTAGTTACTGTCCTCGAAGCTGCCACTGCTGCTGAAAGACGAGCAGAATCTCATGGTGCTCAATGGATCAGACACATAGCCTGAAAAAGAGACAAATCAATGACAACTGTAACACTCACGGTGGTCAGTTTCAGCTGTGAATAACAATATTTCTACTGCTAATGAAATTCTATATTATTTATACAGTAAATATTCCATGAAAAGACAAAAAACAACAATGTATTGATCCTCCTAACAAAAATGGGCACTATAGTTTATATACATTGTCCTGGAGAACCACCAAACGTGTATTCATCCACTGCTGAAAATAGTCCCTGACAAGTGCACCTTTTACTCCTGTTTAAATAACGTTTGGTTGTTTTTGAAAATGAACCTGTATATTTGTGACTGAATGCCACAGAGTAGGGGAATTATTATTAATAAACGATTCCATCAGGTAAAAAGAAAACTGGACAAAATCGACATTGCATAAGAACAACACGTCAGAGGTCGGTCTGAAGATGATACTGAATCTGTATGCCTACAGTATCTGATCTTGCCAGTAGTGTAAAACTACACCAGCTTTACTTTCAAAAGCAATTACTGTCACTATACAGCACCAATCCCCATGTATTCTGCAAACCAACCATTTCGATCTATAGGAGAAAACTGCATGTTTCTTCTGAGCTCCTCCATTGAAAGGCCTCCCGACGCACGGCGACGCTCACTGAAAAATAAAATGGATAAAATCAACCCTTACTCATTAATCCGCTGCAAAACAACACCGGTCCAGGAATATATACTGCTTCGTTTACATGGAGAAAGATAAGAAGGAGCCAGATAGAAGCAGAGGAAATTCAATATGTATAATATGTCCAATTGAATACCAGGCCTCTCTCACTTCCTTCGTAGGTCTACAAAATACAAAATTGATGAACACAGACGCCTTCATAAAATGAAAGAAAATAATGTTTTAGTAATGATCAATGATATTTATTTAGATTGAATCTGACTGTTTTCTTCATTTGATATTTGGACATCTTGTACCATATGTTTTAAGTCTTTTTTTTTAACATCGAGAAAGGTTGTGTCTAATTTTTGAGTGAGTGCCAGGGAATTACTGAGAAGTCATTGGCACACCACAATAACCCCACCTCCTGTTTCTGGCTTCATGGTGACTGTTACCAGGCTCCAACTCCACACACACTGAGACACACACAGCACAGAGGCTCAAAGCCAGACGTCTAATAGAGGCCTTCCTCCTTGGTCAGAATGCCATGCATGTTTTATTGCATTTGCTTTCCTTTGTTTCCTGTTCAGTATCCGAGCAACTCTGATCCTCACTGTTGCAGTAAGTATCTTAGCTGGTCTACATGTAATGGGCAGTACAATTGTTCAGACGGTGTCACTTCTACAAATTAGGGCAAGCCCAGAAATGATGTTAAAGTGAAAACATTTAATTTAAATTTCTATTGTAAAAAAAAACAACTTCTGATTTCTTGTTTAAATCTTTTTTTGTAACTACTTTGTGAGGCTTATCCACATGGTAACTGTAGAGATAATTAACCATGTAAATCACTTTAAGACATTTGAACATCTGCATTCCTTCTGCATTGACTATAAAACAACATCTGTACATACAGTTTGATCTCAGATTGATTTGGCTTTGGAGAGAAACTTGTTCAACCAATCGAATGTCTGAGAAAAGATCTCTGTAGTTGACTAAAGTCTTATTTGTCTGATATTGCTGTACTAAAAATACTTGACTCATTATGGCTAAAAGCCAGCGATTATGTTGGGTGGGGAATTTGCCAGATCAAATAAGTGATTTAAAGCTAATAACTATGGATCAGTCCATTCAGCTATCAGGATGCCCGTCACAGATAATAATATTGATATGATTTCACATAAATGTTATGTGGGCCACAGTAGGTTTGTTTTATTGTACGTCAAATACTTGAATTGTAGGGAATTCTGCATCGCATGCTGTCCCACCATTTTAAAGAACTATCTGGCAGAGCTTTGGCTACATTAGACATTCTTGTCTTCCAGTTTTGTGTTAAAAAAACATTTTGCATTTTCAAAACTGCCCTGACCCAACTGCCCAATGAGAGAGCACTGTGGTTGTTTAATTGTGTCCCAATGAAGAACCAATGTGTTCTTTTTCTGTTGCTAAGTCATTAAACTAGAAAGACTCAACAGCAGGGTTATCAAAGCATCTTGCAAACAACTTAAGATGATTAAAACTCAAATTCGGCCACAACCAGCTGGGTTTATTGTGCAACTGTGAATGTGGCCAATGTGCAGTAAATGACTGTCACCCTCTCGACCTTCACCTGTCTGTGGAGGTGCTTGAGTTTCTCTTACCTCTGTGTCCAGAAGGCGTAGGCGCGAGTGTTGAGAGCGTACTCAAGCTCAAAGCGGGAGCGCAAGGCGGCCACGTGGCTCCGACCAGGTCCTCCTCGCCCGAGCAGACAGTCAGTGGAGGAAGAGGGTGACAGGGAACCGCTGCTGTTACTGGAAGCTGGAGACATCAGCTACCACAGCAGTAGGAATATAGTTATAATGACAGAATTTAATTTTCACAACATATATGTCTTCAGGGTGTCTGCGGGGTCCTAAATATTCTTAAAAAGCCCAAGTTCCAATTATATGAATTTTTCAGTCTTACGTGTTTTGGGGAAGAAAATGTATTGATCATGCTGTAACAACTACAAAACAAAACTGACATTTTTCCTTCATATCTTTGCCAATCTGGACATAAAATAGGTATTAAATTGCCTTTATAATGGTATTAAAAAGTCAAAATTGAACCTGTTGAAACCTGAAGTGTTAAACATTTAACATATATACCTCAACGTTGCACAAGCATTCCTCCAGGTTGGACACCACCTCAGAGAACTCTGGTCTGTCCTGGAAAATGCAAACTATAATTATTTCTGAACAATCAGAGGCATCAGGTACAGACAAAAACACGGTCCTGTATGTTGTGCTCATTTTAGTCCACCCACACACAAAGCAAAGGTGAACTCCGCTTCAAAAGCAGTCCTTAGATCTCGTGCCTCACTGTAAAAGAACAAACACCGCCACCCCAGAGCTGTTCAATTATACATCACATCCTCAGATAGACGTCTGTTTGAGTACTTCAATACATGAGACCAAGAATATTAAGACAACACAGTAAACAATTTTAGTAAATACTTTTCAGGTGATATGGGTGTCACAGAAGAAAATGTGTTTAAATCTGCGTACACTGCAGCGTTCATTCTCTCAGGCTTTAACGAAGACATTTTACAGTACAAATCCTGTAAACAATGCAGCGTGTCCAACTTTTAAACCCTACAGGAGCTGGTGTACTGTACAGGCGAGGCACCATGGGAGATGCATAAAAGTTTGTGACGGCCTGTTATGGTCACACTCAGGTCCTCAGCTTGCAAAAAGGAAGGAGATGCACCACAGACGGTGTTATAATGTATCCTAATGAGGCCGAGAAAAAAACACGCCTGGCTGATTATTAATATCACAGCACTGAGGGAGGATCATCCAGGCCATGTGTTGCTGTGCAATAATGTATCATCTGGGGATGCACCGCTGCCTTTCATTACTGCTGCACATGTTTGCAGCAGCAGCTGACTCAGCATCAGTTGCTTCTCTCAGTATGTCTAAACAGCTAATGACATGGATTTTTTTTATGGACACAGGATTTTATTTGAGATCGTTTTGCAGTCCGAAATTACAAAGCAATCCCTGTTTGAGTATACGCTGGACAGTACAGCACAAAGTGGATATAAACTACATTGTATAAAGGAAAAGTAAGTAAATAAATGTAGAAGTTGAGAATTAATTGAAGTTATAAGTTGATTATTTTCTATAAAAAGAGCTCAAATTAAACTCAAGAAGAGGTGAAACAGGGTTATTTACCTCTGGGCAGGCGTACCATCCTCTCATCAGAAGTGCAGAGATGGGTTTGGGGATGGAGTAGCCAATAGGAGGACGGATGTGATGGTAAGCCATGTCTGCTGCTGCAGCGGCTGAGGACGGGACGACATCTTAAAATTAAGTTGCAAATTATCTATTATGGTCTGACAGCTTTTTTGTTCTGTGTTTGATTTTTCTTGTATTATTTTGTATTTCTTTTCAAAATATTCTGACATTAAAATTTAAAAGAAGAAAACATTCCTGCTAAATGTCAACACGTTAGCATTGCCATTTTAAGTTAGCATGCTGATGTTAGCATTTAGCTGAAAGCACCACTGTGCCTATACAGCTTGGAGCTGCTAGCATGACTCTGGACTCATTAAAAAATGATCCGGTTCTGCCTTGACAACTAATATACATTTTCAAATGAGGGCCACTCATCCTCAACCGGCTGCATTTACTGCATTCTCAGTGTGGGGTTTCTAACGTGTTGTTGCAGGCCAATGCTGAAGCCAATTTAAAAAAAATAAATAAATCAGAAAATGTTCTCAATAAATGATTTAACAACTTAAATCCAGCTCTATTCAAGCTATGACAGCGTGACAGCGAACCAGCATGCACAATACTGGGACCCTGAAACTGAAGCAGCTAAAAGGAATTCAGCCTTCATTAAGTTCAATTTTACTGTGCTTTTCCTTTTGTGTCAAATTGGCCTCTGTGGAAAAAGGTGCATTGTGTCAGAGGTCTCTTGTGGGCTCCCCTCTAAGTTTGCACACTCAATATCACCATTTGAACCCACGACTGATGTGAATAAGAATACCAGGTTTCAAGTGAGCGAAGGGAATTTCTCCAGTCAGCAGCTCCCAGAGACAGAGGGCGTAGCTGAACATGTCTGCCTTCACTGAGTAGCGCGTACACTGGGTGAACACCTCAGGAGCCATCCAACGCAGGTTCTGCACACACACATATACACACACATACACATACAGTTAAGGCAGTGAGGCTTTCAATTTAAGTGAAACCTGTATTGCCTTGGAAAGATTTTTGATTTTTAGAACGATAATGCTGTGGTGCTTCAATACATCAAGCCATCATACACACACACACACACACACACACACACACAAACAAGGCCCAATTACTGATATAAACACTGTGTCCCAGCAAGGGCAAGTAGTTCCTCACAACAGGCAGCTCCCGAGAGATGTAACACACTTAACACCAAACTGCAGGCCAAGCACTCTGGGTAGTGCTGAGTCAGCACATTGAGACAAAATCTGCATGATGGCAGTTTTTTTTTTTTTTTTTTTAGCTGGTGGGTAATTGATGGCAGAAGCTAGCAGAAGCTCCGGCTTGAACTCCCGCAAAAAAACAGCATACACCTCAATACAACGTGCCGTATTCTGTGTTGTTCCAAAAGTGTGACTGCCTCTTGCGTGTGTCAGCAAATAAATCAAAAAGAGGAGACAGCACTGACCCCCGGCTGCTTGGTCATGTTATCCTCGTCCATGGATTGTAGAAATCTGGATTCTGCAGAGGAAGGAAAGGACATGCAGTGGTCAAACAATGTACATCCACTAGCAGTTAAGTCGTTTAGCTGTATTTTCATTAAGACTCACTCACACTGATCTGAACCAGTGAATAAAATCTTTGATTTACCTTATTACAAGAGATATATAATGGTATTATATATAACTAAAACTTTAAACTATATCACAATATAAAAGTAGTTGATGCTGTTTACACTGAGCTGCATTGTAATGGCACATGACAAAAAAAACTAACAAAAAAAACAATCCAGAGTCTTTAAGGTGGTGAGATGCAGAAGTTGTGTTGCTCAGGACATCCATTTTCAGTGTAAAAAACTCTCTCTGTGTTGCAAAGTGATTCACTATATCTTCAGTTTGTTTCACTACGAAGGAGAATCATGGAGAGCACTGTTTCAGGTCAGGAATGTCCTTAAAGCCATGTAAGCAAATACTTTTTTCATTTAGAAATCCCAAGACAGTTCTGTGTGTATGTCACTGATACACCAATATCTATTCAAAGTTAGCTAACTTTAGCCACCATAAGCTACTGGTCATACCAGACCAAGTGAGGCTGTAGCAGCAAAAGTCATAAGTGGATTTAAGTGAGCAAGGTTGAGTTTTACTGCAATCAACAAATTGTATTTCTTTCAAAAGTTTCTTTCAAAAAGGTACATAGTTTCGTTCATTTCAATTCATTTAATTCAATGTTATTATAAAATGTTTAGTGCAGCTTTAATTGTCTTAAAGCAAACATACCACCATACCTCCAAAATCAGCCACCACTGCGTGTCCGTCCTCATACAGCAGAATATTGTGGCTGGGGGAAACACAGGTATCATAAGTGATCACAACAGTATTTTCAGCCTGCCAATATCATCCAACCACATACTCTGCTACGGTGGCACCCACCTGTTGAGATCCCTGTGGATGATAGGCTGGGTGAGGTTGTGCAGGTACTCCATGCCCTTGGCCACATCGATGGCAATGATGAGCTTGGACTGCAGGTCGATAAGCCTGTCCATTGACACATCATTAAAGCAGCAGCCACTTAGTGCCAGATCAATGGTCCCTGCCAATCACCTACAGCACTTTACACAGATCAATAGGACAGTCTATAAAGACAGCACCTGGCCACACAGTTAGCGGAACACTTCATCTGGATCAATGATGATCCCGGCTGAGGGGGAGAGATGGGTGAGGGGACACTTCCAAGGAGGATAATGAGAACTGAAACAGTCGGTTGGGCTGTGCAAACATGTCTTTGTCAGACACTGAGTAACTCCTTAAGGTAGTTTAAGATCTTTTTCAATCAGGATTTTAGTCACTATCAAAGTGTGCAAGGAATCAAGCATGACATCAAATGAACTGATGTTAACACATCTTACTTACCAGAACAAATGGAAGTGCAACAACATCAAACTGAGTCAATAATGACCACTGACTTGATCGAACACCATTCTGCCACCGTGAGTGTGACAAAGATTTATGACATAGCAGCAACTGTTATTTTCATTATCAATTAATATGGGGATTGTTGTTCGATTCCTTGTTTATATCAGGAAATAGTGAAAACTATCCATCACCTTTTTTTTTCTGATCAAAAGTCCAAAAGCCAAAGATAGTCAATTTAATTCACTTTTTAATCATAAACATAGAAAAGTAGGTCATACTCAAATTTGAGTAGCTGGAAACTGCAAACGTTGACATTTATCTATATATTTTTCCATCCATTGAATAAATTCATTTTCTAATCGTTTCACCACTTGGTTTATATTTTTCAGGTCAGTCTGTTTAAATCTGATGTTGCTGCCTTTTCTGTGTTTACAGTTGTTAGAGGAGATCACATCACATGGAAGTTCTGAAGTTTAGTAGATTATCTGAGTCCGTGGGCCTTAGATGGGGGTCTGTTACAGACAATATGACAAACTGTGAGCTCCAGGGCATAGATGCACCCTTCCTCACCTCTTCTGCTCGTGCAGCAGAGAGAACAGGGAGCCTCCAGAGACGTACTGGGTTACGATGGCGAACTGGCTGGGGTCGTCCAGACACGCCCCCACAAACTGGATGATACAGGGATGATTGAGGCGACAGAGGATGGAGACCTCTCTGCAGAACATGTCCACGTCTGACTTCGAGCAGTACGTGTTGGCTCGATAGCTACAAACGACAGCGGACGTTGAAGGAATCGTCAGTTTTTCCCCATTACCAGAGATGGAATGCAAAATGTCACATTCAGAGGTATGTTATAGGACCAGTGTGTAGGATTTAGTGGCATCTAGCGCTTAATTTGCAGATTGCAACAATTTCAATACAGCTCAGCCTTCCATGCGTGTATGTGGGTATGGTGGCTTTAAAGCTCATGAAAAATGGCCCTCTCTACAGTCAGTTTTTCAGGTGACTATACACTAATGAAAAGATAGCTATGAATATTATATTTCAATCGAGCCAACAGATCCTCCTAAATGTTACACACTGGACCTTTAAATTGACAAGTACCGTTTTATGGCAACTATTTTGTTTCGGCATTTGCCTCTGTAGACCCTTCCAAAGGAGCCTGAGGGGGAAACAGATTTAAAGCTCAATAATATTAACTGATTACCTGAAGCACATTATTTGGAGAGAAAAAAAACCCTAAAACCAAACATGAGAACAGAGTTACCTGATCCAATAATTTCATTAAACTCCAGCTCAGACAGCTGAAGATGGAATTGAGATGGGAGGCTGGCCCTGAGCAGAAGAACTTCAGCTTTCTCTAAAAAGAGAGAAACAATTTCAGAAAACTCTATCTCATTGATGAAGAGCTTTACAGGTGTGTAATGCATCAATACCTCACAAAGAAAGTTGTTCTTTTTAATTTAGTGCCCCCTTACTGAATGCAGTTAAACTGACTCACTTTATTTTTTATATTTTGTATTATTTGAAAAACATGGCTGATGATGGTTATAGTCATATTTAAAGCATAATACAGATTTTTCATCTGAAGGTACTACAGATGTTATTTTTTTCAGGGTAAGTAATTAAAAGTAGAATTAAGGTGCACCACATTTTAATTATAGCAATAGTGAAAGCCCTGTAATTTCCTTTATACTTGTTATAGGCCTCTTTATCAAATAGCTCAACAGATGATTCCTTATCTGAGAGGCTTTAAACGCCGGTTTCATGCTATTCAGATCAACCGTTTCTTAGATCTAAGTATGAATATCACACAGACAGACTGACAGTGTGTGCTGTCATGTCATCTGACACTGATGTGAAGTGTGGGAAAATCTGCTGCGCTCCACTCCACCTCGCTACCTTTAGTCATGCTTTTGATCTTTCCCAGAGGAGAAGGGACAGAAACGTAGGACCCATCTGGAAGAGAGCAGACATGTTCAGACAGATTAAAGGATAAGGGACTTATAGGACAGATAATAGTTTCTCGAGGGGTGACTCACCCCCTCCTGGCTGGGAGTACTCGTTGCAGGGGGACTCATCTGGACGTTTGTAGTGTTTCAGTAGGGTGACGATGGCATCGTGACCTGAGGTGGAAAAACACAAGAGCTAATATTAGCTTTCATTAGATCTTTCCTGACAGCTTAGCTCATCATCATACAAACAGACCTTTTTCATAAGCCCACATCAGACAGGTCTGCTCATCCTTCTCCCCGCTGGACCTGCTGGGGTCACAGGCAACCAGGTTCATGTCTGCGCCACCGTCCAGCAAGAACTGCACCAGGCGGATGTGGCCGTGAAAACAGGCACTGTGCAGAGCTGAATAGAGCAATAAAGGGATATATATATATAAACACACTTATAATTAAAAATACAACTGAACATGTGAGTAAAGGAGTTTTAACACATGAGTCACCTGTGTGTCCGTCTCGGCCCTGATGGTTGATGCTCATAGCATTCTGGCTCAACAAGAACTTCACCATCTCCAGGTCTTTACCATAGGTGCACGCACTGTGACATGCCATATGTACTCATTATCACCTCAGAGCAACATGAATCACAGGTTAAAAGTGATGCTCATAAATCAAACATGTTAAAGCACAATACAGTGTGTGAGACAATACCTGTGAAGTGCTGTCTCGCTGAATATGTTCTCCTTTGACAGACTTTCTGTGCCAGAAAGCTGTATGATCACCTTCGCTGCTTCAAATTTCCCATTATAGCAGGCCCTGAAGAAACACAACATTCAATACAGCACTTCATGACATCTAGCAAAAATGCATAGAAGCCTACTGACACTCTACTTACAGGTGTAAAGGTGTGTCCCCATAGATGTTGACAGAATGAGGCTGTACGTCAAAGTTGCCCTGCAGGAGATAGCGCACAATGTCATGGTGACCAAAGCGGGCACAGAAGTGGAGAGGAACGTGATCTTCATTGTCCTGGGCATTCACTGAGAGAGAAGAAAAGTTAGAAAAAGAATTCCCACCATCATTTTCAGCTATAGAACTGAAGTATCTTCCCTGTGGCTTTTTAAGAAGGAAATCAGTAGGTTTGGCAGTGTTGAAGCAGTGCGTAGTAAGTAAAGTATATAATAACCTGTGCTATTATGTTTAATCCACAGACGATTGACTCAAGTGAATTTTAACTATATGTCGGGGTGTACTCAGGAGTCTCAGGTCTCACCGTTAGTTTTGCTCCCTTCCCCCATCAGCAGTTTGATGATGCAGAGGAAACCTTTGGCTGCAGCCAGATGCAGCGGCCGGTCACCTACCTCACCACTCGCATTCACATCTGCCCCAAACTTGAGCAGCAGCTTTGCCACCTGAAAAGGTAGAGAGAGAGAGAGAGAAGTAGAAACATATAGATTCAGATGAGAAAAGTGTCACTTTTCTTATCAGATTGTTCCCCCATAAGTTATGAATGCAGAAGTGATGAAGATGAGCAACTTACCTGCTCATGACCATTATAAGAAGCAATGTGCAGTGGAGTGAAAAACACAGCATCCTGAACATTCACAAAAGCTCCGTGCTGCAGGAGTATATCTGCTGCCTGGTGGGGAAATATAGCAGATTATAAACGTGCAAAAGCAATGAAAAGTCCACAGGTATTTATCATTTAAAAGACCCAAAGAAATCCCAGCTCTCACCTCATGGTGCCCAGCCAACGTGGCCACGTGCAGGGCAGTGAGGGCCCCGTAGCCCACCTGCTGCACGTCTGACCCTCCGTGGAGAAGTGCAGTCAATAGCTCTGCATTATCCTGTGGTACAGACACAAACAAGGAACACATCCAAAGACAGTGAGGTGAAAGCATAACTACTGTATTACTACCAAACACTCACTTTATATAGCCATGATTGTTCAGCTTTTTCCACATCCCACTTCAGAGATAGTCATGCTGGCTTAGTGTGTACTTGCACTCCACCATGTGGCAAAACATAAGACAGCTCTTCACCGCATGACAACACAAGCAAGACAAAGACATAGATTACACTTGGAAATATATTTAGAATATATCTGTATTTAATGCTCTTTAATTCTCTTCACCTTGTAAGCAGCAAGGTGGAGTGCAGTGAATCCATTCCTGGACAGTCTGGAAGGACGCAGGCCCTTGAGCATCAAGGTGCGGATATGGGCCTTGTTACCTGGTCAGAATATTACATACTGATATTATTAGCTGGTAAAATATTTCACTAAACTAAACATAATGTTTATTGTTAATAACATAACAAGATGGAATAATATACTAAATCTAAGAAACAGGAAAACTGTTAACTCTTTATGTACAATTTATTTCTGTTTACTTTTGTGTCTAACTTTGAGGTTTAAGGTCATCTTCAGACAATAATGTCAGTCAGTCCATAGTAATCCCTCCTTCCACTGTCACAGTTTGTTGAGGTTATTAATAGACCCTAGCAGTCATGCATACCTCCACATACGCAGCAGAGATGCAACAGCGACAGCCCCTTCTCTGTTCGGTAGCTCACGTTCACCTTCTGAAAAGCCTCATCAGAGCTGAGTCACAGAAAATCAACATCACCAGCTTGTAAAAATTAAAACCCCTTGTGTTAAATTACACATGGTATATACTGTGAGTCACACACCTTAAATTCCAATTTAAAACTCACCTGAAAGCCAGTTTGAGATCCACGAGCTCGCTGTCTTTGAGCTGAAGGTCGTCTTCCAACTTCTCAATGATCACGGCGTACGATTCCCCGACTTTCTTCTTCCACTCATCTTCACAACAACATGTCACATCAAAGTCAAATTTTATTTATGTCACAATTTTGGGTTTACAATCTGTACAACAGTCAACACCCTCTTTCCTTTGTGCCTCGTAATTGGCCATAATGTGAACTTATTGTTGCCCATGTGCAGAAAAAAGGCACCTTTTAATTAAATTGCGATAAAATTGAACAACTGTATATTGCACTGTGTTCGGGCACTACTATATATAACTGTCAGTCACTTACTTGTTCAACTTGTGTACATCTTGTGATAGAAAATGATGGCAGCTAACAGTAAAACCCTCCCCTCCAGGCCTTCCTTTTTCCATTGACACCTCATTCTCACCCTGTCGATACATCAGACATTAAAATATCCTCCCACAAACACACCAAGCCATTACCTGTACACGTCTGAGATGGTCTTGATTTGTAATTTCCCATTGATAAGGTCCTGCTCTGGTAATATGTTCTGTGCAGTTTGGTTTACTTGAGTAAAGCAGTAATACAATCTCTCACTCTGCCACAATTGCACAGGTCCAGATAAAGGGGGATCATGGGCTGCGGGCTAAAAATAAACACCTTTGAGTGGAATGCCTAACAACTACGACAACTGATCTCCCTCCAAATACAAGCGGGCGTGTATCAGTGTGACCCAAGTGTGTGTGTGTGTGTGTGTGTGCGTGCGTGCGTGCGTGCGTGCGTGTGAGAAAACAAAGCAGGTGATCAATGCCCTGCCACTACAATCAGTCTGTGATGTATGAGAGGCTGATTGATGGACTGAAATTGAAGTACATGTATCTTTTTTTTTTTTGCCTAATAAACAACGAGCTCAGTGGTTCCCAACTGATTTATGTCACACACAGCAGACATGTTGACTTGTCATACCAGGAAAAGCAAAGTTGGAAACCAGAGGATCTGTAGCATTATTTAAACCGCCCATCTATGTTTAAATTAATTTTATTATTACAATCAGATAAGCCTAAAGTTATTTGTAAACTAGGCTTTTTGCTCTATATTGTGTTTATGCTCCATACCATGTCATCATGGTCCTGAGTTGCAAACAAATTAAATTAAATGAAAAGAACTTTAAGATTAACTGTGCCCTTTGCCTCACATTGTTGTTATAAGACAATGGACATGTCCATGTAGAGACAGATGCTCCAAATACTGACGTACCTCTTGTCGTGAGCAAAATAATTACTGAAAGCAAAGCACCAGTTAAATGCTGTGAGTGAGATCAGATGAGGTAAAAAGCAAAATGCTTCTATAAGACACCAGAATGTTATATTTTAGATTACAAAAAATGTACAAAAACATTTTTAAAAAATTAAGAATGAACTTTATGAAACATTATACCACAATGAATCAGATGACAAAATCCATATCAGATCTTCATATTGCTGACAAAAGCTAATAGTCCTGATGGTTGAAAAATGATCATACAATATATTGATGATTTATAGCACAATGTATTTGATTTCTTACTTTAACAGCATAAAACTGCTTGCATGATCTCAATTGTTCGATTTTCTCCGTGTGATGTCTTCATATAGTCCCTTCCTGAACTTCAACATCTCCTCCAGGTTCTTACACTGTAAGCACTCTTGCATGGACATCAGCTCTGTGTCTTTAGGTAAGGTGAATGTGGACCCACTCAGGACGGCCTGCAGCATTTCCAGAGACACTGAGAATGAGCTTTGTGGATCAGAGCAAACAGGAAACAAACAAGCCTTCCACAAACTACAGCTGGACGCATCGCCCGAGAACCTCAGGACTTCATTTTTCAGCCCCCAGTGGGACAAACACTCTGCCAGGCTGAAACCAAAAAGCTTCAGCTCTTCCATGTACGCAGGGGCTTCCACACTGTGCTTTAAGTTGTCATTAATCCCAAACACGACAGTCACAAACCTGGTTTGGTGCTTGTGATTCACACACAGTGAGTGCATGAAGACTCCATCAGGCACAGAGAGGGCTGCGCTGACCCGGCAGCCGCTGACGATGGAGCCCCGACCTACAGAAACTCCTGCTCCCAGTCTGGAGTACTCCACCACTGATCGAGCTCCCACAGTGCAACTGGAATCGAGGACGCTGTACATAACGCAGTATCCCGGGGAGTCGTCTGAGTTTTCATTCATATGTACACTGAAGGCAGATGACAGGAGACCAAGCTCCCTGTGCAGCGCCACATCCTCAGTGAGGTGAAAGAGGTATTCTGATGTGGTTCCAATGTGATAAAACTTGGAGTTGTTCAGGAGAATGACATTCAAGGGAGTCCCTTTTAGAAGATGGAAGATCTTTTGGCGGATTTGCACCAGACTGCTCTCCTCTTTGGTGACATTTGCGGTGTTGTTGGTGTAATCTATCGTGGCTTTAGAACCCAGTGCTTGGAGGAAGTCCCCGTATGCGTCTATCTCACAGTCCAAGGGGCCCAACTCTCTCAGCAGGTTAAGAAGAGACTTTGCGGTATCAAAGTCGATGTAATAGGTGCTGTCTGTGTAGACAAACTCAGCATCAGGAAGAGAAAAACAACCACTCTGTCTTCTACAAACAGCTCCACTGTCTCGCATCTTATCAACGCTCGGCTTGTGCAGAAAGCACAGGCAGGAAGTGTTCTCCATCTCTGAGTAAGTAGGCTTTTCATGTGAATCCAACACAAACACTCCGTGGGTAGTCCCAATAGACAGTGAGGAGGGGTGTGCTAAAGCTGTAAAGCCAGGTTTGTCAAAACGGACATTTTCTTCCTCTGCAATACTGTAGAGCTCTATGTCATCAGCACAGGTCACCAGTACACCGGGCTTCATCTGGGACGGGAACTCCACATACATGGCCAGTTTGAGCTCCAGCATCTGGTAGAGAGGGTCACCCAGCGGCACAGCGGTGAAGATCTTCCCCAGGGCGCTGGCACTGGGAAGACGCTGACTCAACCCACCTGGATGGATGAGAAGAGAAATACAAGTGGGGAAGATACTAATAGAGATAATAAGTTTTTGGAATTGAAATCGGAATCTGTTGGGGTTAATTAGACAATGATGATATGCTGCTGTGCTGTGGGAGGAAGTGGAAGTTTAATTGAGTAAGGATAAAGCTTGTAGGGAGTGTGTGTGCAGTTTCTAATCTAATGTTCTCTGCAGTGTTGACATATTTTATTTGTTATGCTTAAAAGCAACAAGAAAAGAAAAATATAATAATAATGATAATAATAATAATAATAATAATAATAATAATAAAAAATAAATAAATAAATTAGCCGACATGGATGCAACAGTAATTGTGTTGTTGTGATTTGGACTGTGTGTGAGTCAACAAGCGGAGCCCTTTGTGGTGGTAAAGTTTAAAGACAGGCCATAATATCATGGTAAAGTATTGTTGCTTATTTTTTTAGGGCAGTAATACTGTCTGGAGTCTGACTTTGGCAAATAGCCTTAATAACTCAAGGGCAATAATGGATTTACTTTGATAGTATATAAGCATGCAATCCATCTATCTATTTTCTGCAGGCCCTTATTTGTAATCAGGGTCATAAGGGAGATGGAGGTCATCACAGCAAGTACCTGTAGTGCTGAAACTATCAGTCAATCAATCAAAGAAATTCACTGACTGTAGCTTTTCATCATCAGTTCATCGTTTCTGGGGTTTTTTTTAAGGAAAAATGCCAAAGCTTTTGTAGTTCCAGCCTCCAAAATGTAAACATCTCCCACTTAAAAGGGCCAGTGTGTAGTATTTAGTGGCATCTAGGTACAGATTACAACCCCTTCACCTCACCCTCCCGTTCCAAACCTGTAGGAGAATCTAAGGTGGTCCCATCCAGAGCCACTGTTTGGTTTGTCCATTGTGGACTATTGTAAAAACATGTCGGTTCAACGTGTTGGACTCAGTAGTAGTAGTGGACCCGCTCCCTCTGCAGATAAAAATGCTTTCAGTTTCGCAGCCAGTGGTTTCTGCTACATGCTTGGAACGGGGAGTTGTATTGAGTTTGTTGCTATGTGCAACTTTAACGCTAGATACCACTAAATCCTACACACTGGTCCTTTAATTTAGGCCTGTACGATATTAAAGTGAATCCCTTTGGTTTTGCTTATAATTGTGAACAAAACAAGTCACTTAAAGACGATGTATCAGCTTCTGGAAAATCGTAATGGGCATTTTTTACTACAGTTTTCTGACATTTTATCGACCAATAATTACACAAATACCATCACTGAGAATACCGTATCAGCATGAATTGGAAGAAAAGCAGTGGAAGACATAATTGTAATTTATTTAGACATCTAAGGGCAACAAAAGGTTATTCAAATCTCCAACCTGCATGGATGAGGATGACTCTCAGTCTGCTCAGAGTCTTCCCATAGATGTCATTCAGCTGCTGCAGCGCATACAGAGTGGAGCCCCCGTTCCCTTGAAAACACAAGGTCATACTAGTAATAATTTATAATAATGTGGTGCTTTGTTGATCCCCCTTCAACAACAAACAGAGCCCAGTTAAAATGAAACTGGAGAGTGTCTGTCTGACTCACTCACCTATTTTAGACCCAGGCGGATCTGAGAAGACCTTGTAGTGAATTCCAAGGGGAAGCTCTTTCCTGTCAACTTTCTGTGTGATCTGCAGCTCATACGCTTCCCTCTGGCTCCAGTCTACAGCAGTCACAACCACCACGTCCCAGAACTCACCCGGCTGCACTTCTCGCTCTTCACATGAACAGAAAGGAGACAGTTATGAGGACAGAATCCAGGCACGTTTTAGCTTAATATTTCACATGCTTTCACTGACCTATACTTCAGACAGATACAGATATATAGTATAAGATAGATATATGATATAAAACTCACCTCGCAGAGAGTTAAATTTCCTCAGTTTATCTCTTGTTGCGGTTTTTAACTTTGTGATGTATTCCTGACTCATGCTGTCGCCTCCAATGTCGATTGCTATAGTTATGTTAATAGTTAAAGTGCAGCAAACCTAGTTCAGATCGTCTCCTACTTCCGGGTGTTGTCACGTGGTTACGTTGCCGGCGAGTAAACGGAGCACGTGGTCAGGGTTGACCTGCAGTTTTGTTTTGGTTTTGTTTACGTTGGAAAACAGCCATAGATATATATTTTTATATTTAAGCACGTAATAAATAAAATAAAATAAAATGTAAATATTAATGTTATATTGTCTGTGAGTGAAACAGTTCACAGAAAGAAAATTACTCCAAAAGTATTTCCCTGAAAGATCTTAGTGTTTTGTTTGTGTTATTAATTGGTTTCCATATTGTTTTGTTCTGTGTTCCATAAATTATGTAAAATTGCCTCTCTTTTTTAAATTATTTGTTCATTTAATTATGTTTTCTATCAATTTAGTCTTCCCACATGATGCTCTGAAGAGCCCTTGCTGCACTCTCTCTGGATATATAAATATTCGGGTGGAGAAATACTAAATTACATTAAAATCTTTTGCTGTTTTAATGTAATTTAAAGGCTCTGCACACCCACACAGGTGTTTTCACTGTACTGGATGACTGGCCTCTGCTCAGGCTGAAAGTATGCAGAGCAATGCTGGGAGTTGTGTGTATAGGAATGGCTGAAATAAGTGAATACACCAGTGTGGGTTTATCTTGGGTGTGTACACCATGAAAGTTCATTCTTGACCTTGACAGTAGTTTGACAAAAGAAACTAAGTGGACTTTGAGTATGATTTAATGAACAGTTTTATTGTAATCTATTTATGTTTCTTTTTAATTGTGTTTTTTAACCTAACCTTTAACCTAGTCTAATTTAGATGTATTGAGAATCAACCTTTTATCCCAATTATAAGAATATATTTATTTTTATGCCACATTTCTGAACAATGTTACAAAGTGCTTTACAAAAGAAAAATAAAACCAGACAAGGATGATCATCATAATTGACAGGTCCATGAAACTCCAAATTCCCAGACACAATAATGAAGTACATGACCATGATATCTTCAATAGTGGCTCTGGACCTGTTAACTGCCCTTGCAAGTACTAATGGTGTTTTAGTGGTTTTACTTTACCGCAGTGCAGACAACCTCACAAACAGACCTACAACCTGATGTAAACTAATGAGTAAAATAAATCATTTATTTTTCTGAACATAGCTAAATGCCTGCTGAATAACCTTTGATAATTAATTGATGACAAAAGTGCACTTTACTCCCTGAATGGAGCCTGTTAAATTAATTAATCTATTACGCTAGCTTTTATAATCAGAAATAATCATTTTTAACAAGGTTTTCTGTCACTGTTCACATGTCACCATGGCAACAGATGCTCGACAACATCCTCAGGCTACATGTTTATTTGCATGACATTAAATTGTATATTGTTACAAAGTGTATTCTCTTTCTCTTACACCACATTTCTGGTGCTGTGGTTTAAGAAAAAGCAGATGTAAGGGTCTTAAATCTCCATGACAACAACATGTGGAAATGTCCAGGGATTGGTTGTCTGCTAAATAAACCCTTTGACATCTCAGTGGTGCTAAAAAGGAAAGTTAAAGACACTTAGACACAATAACAGATACTCGAGGAGCGAGCTGGATTGGAAAAAAAAGGGTCTCTTTTGTTTAAAAAATTGGAGGAAGAATTCAGACAATGTCAACAGCCTGGGCTTTATTTAACTTTTAGAGTCTGCGACATAGGCTTTGCTTTCAGCTGTGGGTTACAAGCCTCAAGTGAAATATTTGAAAATGAAAAAAGATAAAAGAAACTGATCCAAACAGATCAGAGATCTTTCTTTAGACCTTGTTCAACATCCACTACTTACTGCTAGTATTTCATATTTGCTGTAAACGTTTTTGTAATAAGCGATTATATAAGACTGTGCAATTCTGCTGCACTGAGAACAAACAACTTTGCCACCTTTAACCACATTTATCCTTCCAGTACTACAAAGATAAGGATAAGCAGTTTCTACTGAAGCTCTCAGAGCTCTGTCAACAAGGCTGCCTTCCAGATGACAGCCAACAGTTTGCAGGCAGACTTTGAGCAGAAGAAGTTGGTAAACCAGCCTATGGAGCTGGATTGTTGAGATCGTTCACAAAGCACTTTGGCAGAGGCAGTAGTTGCAGGACGCCGGGCAGAAGTATGCTGCATTTTTAAAACAGAGGTGAAAGAGGAAGGCTTGGGAGTGGGCACTGATCGAGGCTTTTCACAAGAATAGCACAAATCAGACGCTGTTCAGTGACCTGCAGAGTGGTGTGAACTGGCAACGGGCGTCCAGCCGCAGGCCAAGACACGTAATCCAGTCATCCAGGGATGCTTTGGACAGATTTATTTCACAGGATTACCGACTGGCCTGTACCTGACAGTATTTCATTGTTTTACCTGAAATTTCACACTGTACTGACGATCACATACACTATATTTTTTCATTACAGATGCTGCTGTTATTCGTGTTTGGCTGTCCGGGAAGCAGTGTGAGTACAACAGGATGACCATGGAACAAGCACAATACCTGGAAAGCAGACAGAGCTACGAACTCCTTTAAACCCCAGTCAGAGGCAGCCAGCACAACACTAAAATCACAAGTTACAGTGGGATACAACTGCAAGCTGTGTTTTTCCTTTCTTTTTTCTTCATGAAAAATGGTTAAGGAATGTCAGGAATGCAGGGTGAGGGAGGTGAACACCAACACAACAGCTAAAATGAACATAATCCACTGGTCTATTGTGTTTATTGTTTCAGTTTAATCAAGAAAACAGCTTGGCCGTCGAGTGTCAACATGTTATACGATCAGTGCAAGAGTTGTCCTGTATAATCATTGTCTCACAATAAAAACAGCATCATGACATACTAAATGTACAATTGGCTTAAGTCTTAATCAAATAGTTTAAAAACTTTATTTAGGAGGTAGAAAATATACTATATAAAAAAAAAAGCTGTTTCAAACATCCCAGCTTAGACTAATTTTATCCTCATGTTAGTTTCTGTAAAGACTGGCAATACCATTTAAAATATTGCTTTCTCAACATAATAGATTTCTGTTAAATACTTAAGAATATGTACTAAAATTAATTGATCTATAAATAAAATTGCACAGGAAGTTTTCCATACTATAGCCTAAGAGGCTTAACATATGAGAGACTCTTGCTTCATACCTATTAATCTTGCTGAAAACATGTAGCAAATTCTTACAAAAACCTATACAGTGCATTTCTTTATCCTTTCTCTCTCTCGCTCTCTCTCTCTCTCTCTCTCTCTCTCTCTCATTTACAGAATAAACAAAGTCACCCAGTGCAAACTGAGGTTTAAAGAAAAAAAACAACCACAAATCCATTGAAAAGACGTCTGCAATCTCCGGGTGGGATACTTCTTCAAGAGCACAGCACCTCCACAACAGAAGTGCCATGGAATCAAGACAGAGAGATTATCCTAATCCCTCCTACTGATGCCACTGCTCCTCTTGTGGGGAGACCATGGCGCCACTGTTATGTCTCATTGCAGAGGGTGGCAGAGCAGCCAGGCTGTCCTTGTTGGCCTCCAGGAAGTCGCTACAGGCAGAGAAAGCGCTGTAAAAGCTGGAGGAGAGGCCAGCGATGTCTGTGGAGATGTAGGGGAGGACACCCGGTGTGGCCTGGTTGTAATAGGTGATCTGAAACAAAACACATCACGTCTTGTAACTACTTTTGCTTTAGTTTTAAAGTTGTGAAGCGTTAGGCTGCAGCAATGTCCTCATAGAAAGCGTGAATGCTGAACTGCGTGTCCCTCTCATTTGGCCAACCTTGGTGACAGTACTGGACTCTTCCCAGATTGTGAAGCCAGCACAGAGCACCTCTCCCCTGGTGTAGTCCTCAGTGGGAGGGTGAGTGGGCAAAGTGACAGAACGCAGAGCTATCAGATATGGGTCCCTGAGAGGGACAGAAGAGGAGGGCATCATGAGACTTTATGAAAGAGCAAGTGTTAGTGGCAGTAATGCAATAATTGGTTGCATAGAAATATAATATAAAGGTGTAATAGGAAATCGAGAAACAAAAGGTGAAAAAGTTTATTATGTTACCACACCTGGCATCACATGGCTTCCTCCTAGATGCCAGCAAGATAAAGTCCTTGCCTTTGCCCCTTTTACTGACCGACGGTGTGGCTACGCGATAAAGTGTGTCTTCCTCATCCGCTTGGTTGATCACTTCACATTCCCTGCAGTGGCCACAAAGCAATAAGCATGTGATACAATGCAGATGTTAAAGAGTTAAATAAACTGTATTTCTCACAATAAATTAAGACAAATAACTGGAACCTTTTGATTATTTTATTTGTTACTCATTTTGTACTGTATTAATATGTGCCAACATATGTCATGCAGAACTTTCCCCGTATGTTTGTTTTGTTGGTTGCTGTAATAATATAATACAACTGAGGAATTTAAAGGATAAAGCTGGTGATATTCCACATTTCTCCTGTTGTCAACAAATCGCATGAAAAGACCAAAACCAACAATTAATGTATCCTTATACCTCTGTGCCATAGACGTCCATTGTTCAAAAATAACAAGCACCACTGTTGCACTGGGTAACATGTTGCTTCATTACCATGAATATAGGCACTGTAGTTTATTTTGAGTGCATCCCACATACACCTTCCTGTAGCTGTAAATACTCACTAAAGCACCAAATGTGTATTACTAGCTGAGAAGAGTCCCCTAAGAAACACTCTATTACCATTAATTCCTGTGGCATTTGCTAAAAACTACAATGCCCTGCTGTTTTATGAAATTACTGAGCCTTTTTAAAAAATAAAACTGCATATTTAAAGATTTACATCTTCTATAGAAACAAACTGGCTTGGGGCTGAGCACCAAAGACCTAAAGTATTGAGAGACAGACAAAAACACTGTTTTGGTGTTTTTATGTGATTTTCTGACAAAAATATAGAACAACATCCGAATTATCCTTTAAGCTTACTCTTATGCTAAATGCCAAAAATGTAGACGTTACTGACTCATAGTGCTGGTCCCACTCCTTTCTCCTCCTCAGGTCTGACAGTAGGTGGAACGTTTGCTCTGCTGGTACGCCGACGTGCATCTCCACCTTGAAACACAGCACGTGATTTTCCTCCAGTGTGTACAGCCTGACCTAAGAATGGAGCACATCCACAAAGAGGAAGTGGGCTCTACATGTATAAACAGGTTTTGTTCCAGTTATTTTAATACGCACACAGTTTGACAGCTGTCACGCTGATTGGTGGGTGCATGAGAGATTCTACATATATTAAATATTTTGAGGATTGACTTTAGTCTGAGCTTGTTCTCTCAATCTCTGAAAATTACTTTAGACAAAGTTTTCAGACTTGTTCTGCATTATTCCACCATTTAATTAAAGCAGTATGGTCCTACTTCCAGGACAGCCACTGTGACTGTGCAGCTTCTTCAATATAATACGGATCCAAATGTACGGTGCAATCACAACAGCTGTAACTATTTAACAAGCTATATCCTGGATGCTAATACAAACAATACTGACCTTGTTTTTCTCAGAAGTTAATACCCAGTTGTTTCTGGTATCCATTAGTTTCAGTGCTGATACATTATTGTAGCTCAGGTACATCTGAAAAACAAAGGGACGTCTGAACTCTTGACCACAGTGACAATATCTAATAAGCCTTCCTAAGCATGTGTGCCTCTGTTTGCCAGAAATTGCAATACCTGGTTACTTGGATCCCAGGGAACAGACAGAGGCACTTCAGTTTGCTTGCAGGAGATAATGTATTTCCTGTAAACAGGTAGGGCACAATGATTTACATTCAGGGACAAAAGAAAGATTTGACCGATATGAACCTTTTTTCATTCTAGCAATGATACAACACATTTGGTTATCAAACAGTGGAGTGAAGATTATACTGGAGGCTGGGTATTTTACAGTTGAACAATGAACTTATTATGCTTGACAGACTCTGCACCAAAGTCTGCTCAGCTGTGATATGCTGCTCTGCCAAGTCATGTGCTGCTGCAGAGAATTGTAAACAATAGACAAACTAAGCAATGATGACTCCCAGTGCTTTATACTGCATCATGTACTATAATTTGTTTTTTTTCTCCAATGTATTTGTTGGTTTTGTCATGGTTAATGAGAATCCATCTTGCATACAATGTTGGTTTGTGGTGGACTATTAGTATAATTTCTTCAGTGACAAAAAAACCTGATTCCTCTGTAGCTACTTTTGGCTCAAAACATACGTTTCCTTATGTAATAAATAGGAAAGTAAGCAGATAACAGTGTTAACTAACTAGCTAACTTTTTTCACAGACAACATACAGATCTGCAACAAACCATGTCAGCACTCTATAGATTTATCAGCAGGCTGTACAAAGAACAAAACCTGACAGTTCACAGGGAGATACTAACCTATCCAGGCGAATCTTCTTTCTGGCAATAGCTTCTTGATAACGTCTTTTTCCATCCTGTAAAACATGGTAAAACCCAATGCTGAAATTCTCACAAAAGGATGCTCATTTAGCTTTTTTTGGCTCCATACTTATATGTATATTATGGGCTCCCAGGCACTGACAGGACCCCTAAAAAAACTCACCACAGGCTCAGGTCGTATCCGTGGAAGCGTGCTTGGTTTCCTGTCACTGTCCAGCACCTCAAAGGTCATAAAAGCACTATTTATATGGCGCAGAGGTTCTCCACCCTGGTAGGCCTCAGCACACACTCCCACCTCCATGCTACAGCATACCATGTACGCAGGCGCGTGGGTTCACAAAAGATATGCATTCACACAGACGTATAATGTAAACACACTTAGACTGTAAATGTTAACGATACATTGCATACATTTATTAGATGAGTTGAGAGTTGTTTGTCCCTTGTGCGATAAGAAATCCTCATTATGGGTAGTACTCACCTGTGCTTGAAGGAATTGTTAACAATGGCTTTCAGCACTAGTCGGTCACCAATATGAGATGGGCCACGGAAATGGAACATGTCTATGCTCCTCAGGGTTGGGTGAGCGTTGCACAAGCGACTAGATCAAAATATGAAGAAGAAAGAGCAAAGTGTTTGTAGTTTCTCTTAAGTGTTGATGTTTTTTAACCATTAGCCTCATTACAAATAACATCTTGGCAAATTAGGAATTATTAGGAGTTACTAGGAACATGTTTATTTGTTTTCTTGCTGAGAGTTATGAGAAGATCACTCTTATATCTGCTGATTATTTATGAAGCTACTGCCAGAGCCTGTTATCTTAGCCTGGCATAAAGACTACAAACAGGGAGAAACAGGGTAACAAAACCCATCAGCGATTACCAGGTTTTATCTTGTTTGTTTAATCCATACAAATACTGGAGTGTAAAATAGACTATTTTGTGGATTTATGAGGGGTTTTTCTGTAGGACTATATTGTGGCCGGGTGCAGTGATTTGAGTCTCAGGTGGTTTACTGGCAACCTCAGCCAAGAAATAGTCCTGCACCACTCCGTATAAAACCACAACTTGTCATATTAAACCAATTAGATATAGTGTTTTAATTAGTGAACTTCAGAAGTGCTGGTACTAGGCTAGCCCTTCCTCCTGTATTCACTTGTTATGCTAAGCTAACTGACTGCTGGCTGTAGCTTCATATTTCAATATTTCTTTACATTTATTTTAAGCTAGTTTAACAAAAAAAAATATATAATAACAATGACAAACAGAAAAACTACGTCCACACCTTGCTGCAATTGTAGCCACATTCTCCATCCAGGCCATGATCTGACCCCCAAAGGTGCTGACTTGATGGTTGGCATGTGGCGGTAGCACCAGCTCCACGCTCTCCACTCGTGTCCGCTCGGCTGGCACAGCATCCTGATACTCCTGGCATTCTCCTGGTGAGAGCGCACAAACAAGGAGCTTTAGTCAATCAGACTCCAAATGGTGCCAAGTGCTGTGTTATAAAGCCCTATGTCTACTGCCTGTACTCAGTTGAGCTGTGCTGCTGCTCAGTAGGTCTGTAATGATCTCAGCGTGGATGAGCCTCATCCTCCTCCGCTCTGCTGCCAGGCTGTACTCCATCTGCTCCATTTGTGTGTGAGGAATCACCTGCTTCAGCTGTACCTGTGCACACAAAACACACACAGAACCAGAGGATGTTGAACCAGCTTTAGTTAAATGGTTTTGTGTTCATATTTTGGTTATTGCCCCTTACCTTCCCAGCTTCAGTTCGTCTGGCCACAAAAGTAGCAAAGGCATGGCAAACCTTCCACTGCCTGTCAGTGTAAAGGTCCTCACAAGTGACCAATATACCCACCTGAAAGAGAATCGCCACATTTATTTAATTACTTATGAAATAAAATGAATGCTCACATGCTGAAATCAAAAACAATGTCCACCAACCTCCATACTGGACGTGAAGGCTCTGTTGACCTTTGCTATGATGTTTACAACCTTTCCAACCCTGGAGTAGACAGACACAGATGCTTCTCTTTACTATCAACATGGAGCAGTGATTATAGTATCAACACATTGTGAACCTCTTAACTATGAGACGTAATGTTCAGTTAGTGTCAGGAATGAGTTGGAGATACACCACGGTAGAGCAGCATTAAGGTTAATACCTTACCCTATGGTGTGTTCAAAATGGATGTCGTCCACAGATGCAGTGATACAGGAACAACCTGCATGTCTCTCGGCTGGGAGAGAAGAGATATGCAAATATTTAGGTAGTGCAGCACAAAATCACATCTGTGAACTGGGTCACTGATTGACTGCGAAGACATCATCATCTTCAGACCTAAAAAATAAAACCATTACTCTTAGGGGATTCCTTAAAACAAAATCCTCTCAAATTGGGGTTCTGTGGTCTAATGTGCATCTCATGAAAAAGTTTGGGCCATTTCTGGATTGTTTGTCTGTTTGTTTGTTGTTTTTATAATATATTGTTTGTTCGATTGTATTTTTCCTTTCTTTTCTCTCTTATATTGACATTGTATATTGTTCTGGAGTGGCGACACTCTGTAAATGCACAATCTGGTTAAAAAAAAGAAAAAGAAAAATGAAGAAAGAAAACATTTGGGAACCTCTGATCTATCACACCGAAAGGTAGTTTCAAATTTAAATGCATAAAGTGTTATCTATTGCTTGTGAGAGAGAGTGATTTTGAACCACTCTGAATCAATGAATTGCTGAACAAAGGGGTTAAAATAAAAGTAAAAGCACATTTTACCTTAAACAGTTTCACTATTTATTTTCCAGAAAATCCTACTACATATACATTAATACAGAATATATAAAACTGTGTAGGATTTAGTGGCTCTAGCACTGTAGTTGAAGATTGCAACTAATTTGCTTCACCATCCCTTTCCAAGTGTGAGGAAGAAACTAAAGTGGCTGTAAAATGCACGAAAAACACAAATGCCTCAATCTAGAGCCAGTGATCAGTTTGTCTGTTCTGTGCTGGAGGTCTAACGTGGCGACTGGCTGCATCTGTAGTTATAAATGTCTCATTCTAAGGTAACAAAAAACACAATAATTGTATTTTCAGATGATTATCCACTAATGAAAAAATACCTATAAATACATTATATTCCATATCTGCCTATAGATCCTCCTAAATGTAACACACTCAACTTTTAACTACCTGGCCTCAGGTCAACCAGTCTGTAATTAAACCCATAGTGTCTTTATAAGTGGGCCTTGAAAATCTTGGACAAAAAACAAATAAAAAAGGTAAGAAATATGTGCATTTTATTTATGTAAAGCTGGTTTTTAACATGTTTACACAGACTTACTCCTCAGCCTTTCTGCAAATACATCAAGAGACTACAGAGCGGCAGCAGATCCACCAGAGATCCACCAGAGATCCACCTCCAGCTTCAAGTGGCAATTGCAAACTTCCATTCTGTCGACCATTTTTTGCTCAGACAGCTTTTTCTGTGAGAGAAGCAAAGTCCTGGAACTCGCAACCCGATCACTTGAAATTTGCAACTAACTTCACCACTTTTAAGACGAAAGCTACCAAATCCAACAAATCTGTACTCATGTATAGTTTTTAAATGTGTATTGAAATGTGTTTTATTCATTGTATCCTGTACCCTCTTTTTAACTTACTGTCTTAATATTTTCACAAAGGCCCTTCTAGGGTGATACATGTTAGCATCGGACTGTTTTCAGTCCGTCTGTATCAGTCCCTATTAAATAAAACATAAATAAATAATACTACAAGTGTTACATGAATGCATTTTTTCAATCATGTATGTTTAACACAAACACACATTGGTTTATCTACCTAGCTTAGTTTAGGTATGTAAAAAAAAAAAATCATCAGGATATAATTTTAAATGTCAGTTCACTACTTCTTGCTAGAATATTTCAGCAATGGGATATTCTTGGATAACCATGGTGCATCCTCAGAGTTGCAGATGCTTGAGAATGTTTAAGGCTTTATAATCTCCTGGTGAGCTGTTACATGCTGTGAAGCTGAGACGTAAGAAAACTACTGAGAGTTTCAACGTAACACTTGTTATTCATTTAGCTCATATTGTAAAAGTGAGCAGTTTTCCTACCAGACAAGCAGGCTGTGGAGTCCATCCATTTCAGCAGCTGCCCGACACTCAGCTCTCCACAGTGGTTGGCATGGCATGGCAGCACGATCTGGCTCATCTTCACTTCAGTGGGGTTTCTGTACCCTTCCTCACTCTCCTCAATGAACAGAGGGTCCAGCACAGTGTCTGCATGTTTCCCCTCTGACGTCATAGCTCACAACTACAAAGATGGGAAACACAGGAACCAGGACACTGTCCACTTGGATTTGGACTCACGTACTGAAAGAAAAATATAATGATTACAGCCACATCACCACAAAACATATGATTGGAAGTTGCATCACTTCATACAGCGAAATCAAAAAAATGGACGAATCAGTTGTAAAAGGAGTTAAACAGGGGCCCTTTCTGCACCAAACGTGGACCATGTCCGGATGTAAAAACATTCTGTAACCCAGATAGTAAAAGTACTTCTTGGAGCGAGCACCAGTCTTCTATTTTAATTATGGTTAAGAAAAGCACACTTTATTTGTTATTTATACATTTTGGTCCCTTAAAACACAATATAATCTTTAAAAAAAAAAAAAAAGCAATGAAAACAATAATTTCAGTTGTGATGGAGAGTTGATTCAGCTGACAAACAATCAATTTTGAGTTTAAAGGGGCTGCCACACAGGTGTTTACACCCACATCTAACAGTAATTTAAGTGTTGAGTCAGAAGCACCACTAACAAAACACAGACATTTCTAATCGCTTAATATGCCTTGATTTTGCTCCCCTACTGAACATGAAAAATGCATTCATCATCATTTGTGTTGCAACCTAAGACGCTTTAAATAATCTGCAACTCAAGTTTGTGAGAAATTGCCCAACATTTATCACACCCCCCCAAACACCACTGGAGGATCAGGAAAAACCTGAAACGCCTATTTATGTAATCAAGTATTTGATGGTGCAGCTTCTACACTATCAATGAATGCAATTATACATACAACCTTTGTAAGTGCAGGCTGGGTCCTGTCTTTTTAGAGCGGTTTTAATCATGCTGAGACAGAAACTATTTCAAGACACATGCAAACTATTTTAAGGCATGCCGCTAAATGGGTTACTCATGGAAACTATTTGTTGGGATACAAGTGTTTGCCCATAACTTTTGCTCCAGTGGGACACCTGTCTTTCCTGTTATCGATGACAGGAGCTGCGGTGACCTTTAAATTGACTTTAAAAAAATGAGACATTCACTATTAAACTTCTGTTGCCAAAGCATACGCACAAAAAAATAAAGCCGTCACTGGTAAACACGGCCATGTATTTCACACTGAGAGCAAATTAAACTGGAAAAAGACTCACCTGATTTTAAAAGTCACTGCTGGGGAAGTGGAGATAAAGTCCTTCACGTGGTAAAGACTGTCGGCTGGGAAACATTAACACCGGCTGAGACAGTGCAGCCTGCGACCGGGGCTCTTAACCATGTCACCCACCCGCTGAACAACACAACAACTTGCTGAACACACACATACACACACACGCCATAGATTTACTAAAGAGTTTCACCACTGGAGGGAGAGAGAGGGAGAGAGAGAGAGTGAGAGAGGGAGATCCCCCTGTAGTTGCAGTCCATATTTTTAAGGTGGAACTGTGGTGACCTCATATTTAAGGGCTTTAAAGGCGATATTTAATAGCAAATCAAACAGGAAAAGTATTTGTTCATGCACTTATTTAAAGAAATACAAAATATAAACTCTAGAAATGTTATGGATACTAGAAAAAATTTGTTTCAATATGTATGTTAAAGCTCTTCCATACTCAAGCACCGTTTAAAAGTTTATTAAACTCCAACAATGATCTCTTCAGAGGAACCCATTTATCTTTACGCTTTTATTGATTCGCTATGTATTGTAGGGCCTGCATATTTGCTTCTGTACATGTTAATTTCTTATGTAAGGGAAAAAAGGGCTTATTCTATCCCATATCATCATTTATTTGCTCCTGATGAGGCAAAACTTTATTGTTATTCCTACAGTATAATGTGCCGTTAATTAATATACTTAAAAGCCCATAACATATAGAAATATAAGGCTCTTTTGGTATGGAGCCCACATAATAAAAGTAATACTAGAAAGAGTAGTAAATAATTAAAATGAAGGGTCCAAAGAATAATAAACTTTGCCTTAAAGCTCCATCAGTTTTCAGAGCACCATATTCTGGAGATTTTATTTTTATATTTTCTATAAAATATTTTTTTATTAAAAATATTTCTTAGATATAGATACTTATACATACATTTTATTGTAAAATCTGTTTTGAGAAGGAAAAAATGGTTGAAATGGTTGATTGTTCATAACCAAAATAGTTAATTCATGTCAGAATCAAGTCTTGTAAACAATTACAGAAGAACTATCAATTTCTGCATTAAATTACGCTCATTGATATCGCAGCTATCAACGTCAAAAACAGCAAACTGAAAGCACGAAGAGGCAGACCTTAAGGCGAACGGCGCTCTCTCATTGGCTGCCGGGGGCGTCAGTCACGCCTGGCCCCGCCTCTTCCCCCCGCGGACCAGGCTCGGTTGAGTCGTCGGGTTGAGCAGGAGTGCGGTTGGAGTGCGAGAGGGTCGCGGCCGCGATGATCTGACAGATGAAATAGCGAAAAAAAGAAAGAGAAGGCGGGCGTCCTCCCACACAAAACAATGTTCCCCAAAGGCAAAGGCACCCCGGTGCCCTCGGACGGCCAAGCGCGAGAAAAGTAAGCTCAGAAACGTTTTTTATTGTGTGTTTTTTGCCTCGTAAGTTTTTCCCTCTCGCTCTCTGTTGTTCGCTGGACAGGGTTAGCAAGAGGCGATTTCCTCCTACCGAGAATGCAATTGAATGAACCGCCTTGTCTGCTCGCCATTCCTTCCCCGAGCTTGTGTTTCTCGCTACCTCTGGCTTATTGCTGCCTCTTTTTTACACCTCTACGCACCGATTCCGAGGGCTTGTGTGTGTGTGTGTGTGTGTGTGTGTGTGTGTGTGTGTTTTTTTTTTTTTTTTTAAACCGGCGGTTGTGTCTCATATTTTGTGCGGTTATGTGCAGTCGAGAGCCCGGAGAGGAGAAAACAATAACATCGCCTTGCCACACAGTACATTGTTTTCTCTGTTGCGCTCTGGATAGGCTCCGTTTTTATTTCCCTCAGCCCCATCAGTGCCACCAGGATACTGTACCTAGCTAATACACTGCAGGCTGGTGCTGGGGCTTTTATTTTTTATTTTTTTACCCTTTCACATCACGACGTTAAATTACACTGTTGCTTTAGCACTTTCTTGTGAGCTCCTCATTGTAGTGAATCTAACCAGGTTTTGGCTTGGTTACACAGTCCCCATTTAATTTTTTGGCATAGGCTATTTGGCAGCCATTGTTCAGAGGGCCTGTACGCGACTCTAGTCACTCAGTGTGCCCGTTGAAGAAGATTTAACCTCGTGTTTTTAACGTTTATTTGTTTTTTTTTTTGCCAGTTTATTAAATTAAATTTAAAATCTTGATGTTGTTTTTTTGTCTCCCCCACACAGGTTGGCTCTGTATGTGTATGAGTATTTGTTGCACATAGGAGCACAAAAGTCTGCACAGACATTTTTATCAGAGGTATGTGGAATTTTGGAAAAAAGTTTGTTATTATTAATATATTTAAAAAAATATATAAATGTATCATACATGCTCTTTTAGGAACAACAATATTACCATGTACGTAGTTGACACATTATTAAAAAAAATCCCCTTTCCTAGATCCGATGGGAGAAAAACATAACACTCGGAGAACCCCCTGGATTCCTACACTCCTGGTGGTGGTGAGAGATAATGTTCCTGTGTCCCTTTAAACATGTCCAGGGGTTGGTTGTGTGGTTTTGTTTGCTTTATGACCTGTCTTGTCCACAGTGTATTCTGGGACTTGTATTGCGCTGCGCCAGAGAGGAGAGAGACATGTGACCACTCCAGTGAAGCTAAAGCCTTCCATGATTACGTGAGTAGTGCTTACACGGGGAACTGTTGCACAGATTGTTCTGTCTTCTGCTAAAGAAGACAACAACTTTTCTGTCAAGGCTAAGAAGCGGTGTAAATAATGCGCCTCTAACTCGGGTTGTGCAATGAGTCAGACTTTTTTTTTGGTGGAGCTATCAGTGCAAAGTCCTCATAATCTCTGTTTGTCAACACTCGAGTCCTGACAAAATCTCCCACAATCCCCTTCAAGAGTGATACAGCTGCCATACTTCAGGTTATTGTGATTCCCTTTAAGCTTGAGGAATTGTAATGATTCACCCCAACAGGCTGTCTGCCTTTTTGTCTATGTTTCGCACATTATTTTAGAGATGAAAGTCATTTGTTCCACTGCAGCTTTGTTGCAGTATTTAACTACCTAATGCAAATTAGGACAGTATTTTTTTTTTTTCTCCCCCTGAATTTACGATCGGTCATCTTGCCCAGTTGGTGGGTCGAATGATGCGCCCAACAATGAGCTTTATAGGCTTCTGGGAAAATGATGCTGATGTCAGCATGTCCTGATTCAGACCTGTCGAGTGCTCTCCCTTATCCACGCCACACTAAGGCTCCCTGCCTCAGCTGTGAAGACGAAAAAGAACCTGGTGTGTGTGTGTAGAGCACAACTTCCAGACACTTTATACAAACAGCTTGATATTTGACAGACCTCCAGCAGACCTGATGTGTTGCAGTGTGATAGTACACACTGAAACATATTACCTGAAATGATATGATCCCAATGGAATTGAAACTGAAAACTATAAAGGCAGTCTCGGATCCAAAATCTATGAAATGTCACTGAGTACAGGTGCACCCTCGTATGACAGCACTTCCACATTTGCATGGTATGGGTGTTTTGCATCCTGATAATTATGCCATTTTAGAGATGGGGTGTGTTTTTTCTTCTCTGTGTGCTGCATTGTTTCCTGCTTTGAGTCAGCATTCAAAAGCAACATGAAAAAGAGCCTCATGAGGATCAAAGGAAGTGTGAACTGCTTGTCAGTGGCTTCTGCCGTTCTCATCCTTGTGCTTCTCCGGCCTGATCTGAAAAGATGAGACAGGCATCTTGCAGCTGATGTAAATAAAAGAAAGATACTTTTTCAGGTTTTGCTGTATCAGCACAGCCAAGGAAAGACATTAGAGGTTAAGGATTCCTCTGTGGATGACTGATACACAGAACCACAGTTTGTTGGTAGTTTGGTGGAGTTAAAACAGAGATGCTGGTCCTGCTCTTGGCAGAAAGGGTTGTCAGGGTAACCGGCCTCCTGATCTGGCAGGTGACCTGGGAGCTGGGCTACAGCGTGGCTCTGCCCTTTCAATAACCACATTCCTCATTATTCTAACTCACACAAATAAAAAAGGAAGGTTTTTTGTTTGAAACCAGCCATTATTCACCGCCTGCTTTATAGTAATTGATCGTAATATCGTTGATTTCTTTTGTGTTTTTTTTGTTGTTTGGTCATATCAGTGACGCAGATTTCAGAACTCTTTCGGTTTTGAAGAAATCATATTTCTAAACATTAATTACATACCTCATATTAATGTATTCTTAAAATGTTCTGTTTTTAGCAACAGTGTAATAACGATTTAACTAATTTGTCTAAAATAATTTAGCAGTTTCTCTGGTATTATAATGGGGAAACCACCTCAGACAAGTTTTGAAAGATTAAACAACACAAAATAAGCTGTTAAATTGCAGCCCGTGGTTTGACTAAGACCATTTTCATAACATGGAAAACATTAAGCAAATGAGGGAACAGTGAAACATCAGTCTGGGCAGTGTGCTGCTGTGGTGGGGAGCTTTGAGAGTTTCTGTGTGGTTGGCTCTCCCCGACATCTTGTGGTTGCCCTTCGCTCTGATGTTGGTTCTCCTTGTGTTCATTTGTGGATGTTGGGGGTCAGGCCAGTGTGTGTGTGTGTGTGTGTGTGTGTGTGTGTGTGTATATATGTGTGTGGACAGTACTAGTCCTTGGACCCCCTTGCCTTTGTCTCTAGGTGTGGGGGAGGTGAGTGCAGCTCTGCTAGCCGGCAGCGCTCGTAAAGCCCCGGCATATTCACGCTGGGCCTGATGAACGCTCCCCGAGGGGGCCCCATCGCCATGGCGTCGGTGGCTGATTGATGGCTGTCACGGAGCTGAGGGGCAGATTGGAAAAAAAGAAAGGGGAGTGGCACTGTGGCATATGCCCGGCATCCACCACCGCGGAGGAGCCGAGGGAATAAAAAGAGGAGGGGGTTGGGGAGGAAGAAAGGAGCGAGATGAGAAGTGGAAGGGACCTGCTAGAAGTAACTAGAGAGGGAGAGAGAGAGTACCCAGTCAGGATCCAGAGTGGGTTTTATGATGTTGATTGATGGTTAAACATTTACAAGCTAAACATAGGGGCTGGTTTCTTTTGAGCGTTGGTTCCAGTGGAAGAAGTGAGGCTGTTAAGAGCACGCTAGGTCAGGAGCCGGCTGTTGGGTGGTCTGTGCTCCAGCCCAACCCCCCACACACACACACACATCCCTTCTCCTTCATCCCAATTTAAATATTCAATTTTTTTCTTCTTTCTGTTTGTGTCTCTCTCTCTGCATATACCCTTGCTTTTTCACAGTTACCCCAGTCAACCTCTTAGTGATCCTCACCCCCCCCCCCGCCCCTCCATGTGTTCCCCCCCCCCCCCTCTCTCTTTGTTTTTGTAAAGAGAGCACAAGCACATCCGCCGCCACTCTGGCCTTTTGTAACCTCTTTCAGTGATTCAAGAATTCAGGGAAAATTTGTTTGGCTGGGATTGCTTGTGTGTTCGTAAGTACACACATATACACGCTGAATCATGGTGATGGGGGGTGTAGTAGTCTGTCTTAAAAGAGGTCCCCTGGGGAGTTGTAAGGAAGGCCCCAGACAAGAGCCTCATAGCCCGGGGCAGGGCTGAGACATCTGCCCCTTTCCTGTACCAGTCTGTGGAGAGAGAGACGTGTTTCGTTTAGACCAAAAGCAGCATCAGGCAGTTTGGGACAGTCCAGCAAGCACAGCTGTGGGCTTTAGTGGGATATGATAAAGATCTAACACAACATGCCTGGGAACCCACCATGCATGTTGCTTTTCAGTCTGGCAAACAGTTTTTGACTTTTACAGAGCGGTGTAGATTGTTGACATTGTTTATTACT